GTTCTCCAGAATAGCTGGACTAGTTCAGTACTCCACCAGCAGGTGCACAGTGGACAGTGTGCTGGGCCTGCAGTCAAATCAGGTCTCAGACACGTATTAGCTATGTGACCCTTGGCACGTCATTTAAACTTGTTTGCCTCAGTTTCTTCATCTATAAAATGAGCTGGAGAAGAAAATGGCAAACTGCTCCAGTATCTTTGCCAAGAAAACCCCAAATAGAGTCATAAAGAGTTGGACACAACTGAAAAGAACTGAATGACAACAAATCCTCTCTATCTCTTATTTGGTCATAAACTCTTCCCTTATCCATAGATCTGACAGATGCATTTTTCCATGTTCCCCTAACTTATTATATTACCCTTCATGTCTAAATCATTTGTACATTTTGACCTTATCTTAGTATATGGTATGAGATGTTGGTCTTTGCCTAGTTTCTGGTGAACTGCTTTCTAGTTTTCCCAGCAATTTTTGTCAAATGGTGAGCTCTTACCCCCAAAGCTTGGATCTCCGGGTTTATAAAACACTAGGTTTCTGTGGTCATTTTACTGTGCACTTAATCTATTCCATTGGTCCACCACTCTATTTTTTAGCCAGTACAAGATTATTCTCACAATTACCACTTTGTAATATAGTTTGAAATCTGGAACTGCTAATCTACCTTCCTTAACATTATTTTTTCATTTATCCCCTTGATATTCTCAGTCTTTTGTTTTTCCAGATGAATTTTGTTACTATTTTTTCTAGCTCTATAAAATAATTCTTTGGTAGTTGAATTAGTATGGCACTGAATAAATAAATTAACTTACATAGAATTGGCATTTTATTATATTGGCTCAGCTTACCCACAAACAGTTAGTATTTCTCCAATTGTATAGATCTGTTTTTATTTGTATGAAAAGGATTCAAATTTATCCCCATTACAGGTAATATCTTGGTTTTAGAGAGATGCTACTTGTTTTTAGAAAGACTCCACTGATTCTTATGCTTTCTAGCATTTTAAACAGAAATGGGCATTGCATTTTGTCAAAGGCTTTTTCTGCATTTATTGATATAACCATATTATTTTTGTTGTTTTATTATTAATATGGTCAATTAGGCTGATAGTTTTGCTAACATTGAACCAGCCCTGTATTCCCGGTATAAATCCCACCTGGTGATAGTGTATGATCTTTGTGATATATTGCTGTAATTTCCTTGCTAGTATTTTATTTAAATTTTTGCACTGATATTAAGGAATTTGGTCTATACTTTTCCTTCGCTGTTTTTGCTCTCCCTGGTTTAAGTCTCAAAACCATATTCATAAAATGAAAGGAATTTGGTAGGTCTCCTTCCTTATCTATTTATTCAAATAGTTTATATAGTATTGGGATTAATTATTCCTTAAGTATTGGTAGAATTCACTTGTATCCTAAATAAAATACTAGCCAGGAGACTACAACACATATCACAAAGATTATACATGGTGACCAAATAGGATTTATACTAGAAATTTAGGGATGGTTTCACAAGGAGAATTATTAACATAATTGATTATATTAATAATAAAAGTGACAAAGTAATATGATTATATCAATAGCTGCAGAAAAAGCTTCTGACAAAATACAACACTCATTCCTATTAAAAAACACTTGAAAGCATAGGTATAAGTGGATTTTTCCTTAAAACGATAAGAGCCATCTGCCTAAAACCCTTAGCAAGCATTATTTATAATGGAGATGAGCTAGAAGCCTTCTCAATAAGATCAGGAGTAAAACAAGAGTGCCAATTATTACCAATATTATTCAATATTCCATGAGACACGCTAGCAATAGAAATAAGAGAAGAAAAAAAAATTGAAGGAATCAGAATGGTCAATGAGGTAATAAAACCATCTCTTTTTGGAGATGAATGCTTATATACTTGGAAAATCCTAGAGATTCAGCTAAAAAGTTAATTGAAACAATTAATAATTTTATCAAAGTAGCAGTATATAAAGTAAACTCATATAAGTCATCAGCATTTCTATATACCACCAATAAAACTTTGCCTGAAGGGATAGTAAGAGACATCTCATTTAAAACAGTTGTAGACAATAGAAAACAATTGATACTGTATCTGCCATGACAAGCCCATGAACTACATGAATATAGTATATAAAACACTTTTTCATATAAATTCAGATTTAAATAATTGAAGAACAATTAATCATTAATGGGTGAACAAAGCCAATATAATAAAAATGACAATTCTACCTAAACTAATTACTTATTCAATGCCATCCCAATTAAATTACAAAAAAAATATATTTTATTGAACTAGAAAAAAATCATACCAAAATTCATTTGGAAGAACAATACCTCAAGAATATCAAAGGAATTAATGAACAAATGTGAAGGAAAGAGGCTTAGCAGCAGCAGACCTTAAACTATATTATAAAGCAGTAATTACCAAAACTATCTGTTACTGGCTAAGAAATAGAAACAAAGATCAGTGGAAAAGAGTAGATATATAATACACAGTAGTAAATGATTATAGTAACCTTGTGTTTGACAAATGTAAAGATTTAAGCTTTTGTAATAAGAATTCCCTATTTGGTAAAAAATTGTTGGGAAAACTGAAAAGCAATCTGGCAAAAATTGGGTCTAGATCAATATCTTACTTAAGCCATTTACCAAAATAAGGTCAAAATGGATACATGAGCCAGACATAAAGGGAAATATCATAAGAATATTAGATTATGGAACATATTACCTATCAGACATGGATAGGAGAAGAATTTATGAATAAACAAGAGACAGAGAGCATCGTGAGATGTAAAATGAACAATTTTTATAACTTTAAATTAAAAAGGGTTTGTACAAACAAAACCAATGTAGCCAAGATTAGAAGGAAAGCAGAAAATTGGGGAGGGGGATCTTTATAGACAATTTCTCAGAAAAAGATCTCATATCTCAAATATATGGAGAACTTTGTCAAATGTATAAGAATGTGAGTCATTAGCCAGTAGGAGGTGTGTTTTGAAGTAGTTAAGAATCCTATGGTGCTGAGGTGAAGAAGGATTGTATTCCAAGCATGTGGCACTGTCTGTTCAGGGGCTGGAACTAGAAAACTAGTTTGAAATAGAGCCTGCTTTAAGGGAAAAAGCATGAAATAAGACTGGAAAGATAAGTGGAAGTCTAGTTCATGATCAGAAGAAGCCCCACTTAGTTGAGACATAATAAAGCCATCAAAGAGAACTTTGTCAGATTTATGAGAATGAGTTATTACCCAGTTTATAAACATATAAATCATTCCCAGTCAAAGGATATAATTAGGCAGCTTTTTAATGAAGAGATCAAAACTATCGTCATGTGAAAAAATGCTCTAAATCATTATTGATTAGAGAAATGCGAAGTAAAACAACTTTGAGATCTTACACCTATCAGATTGGCTACAATGACAGGAGAAAATGACAAATGTTGGAATGGATGTGAAAAAATTGGGAGACTAAATACACTGTCAGTGGAATTGCAAACTGATCCAACCATTTTGGAGAGTAATCTGGAACCCAAAGAGTTATAAAACTGTGTATACCCTTTGACTCAGCAATATCACTATTAGGTCTGTTTCCCAAGGCGATCAGGGAAAAAAGGGAAAGAACCTAATAAATCTAAAATATTTATTGCAACTCTCTTTTTAGCAGTAAAGAATTGGAAATTGAGAGGATGCCCATCAATTGGGGAATGGCTAAACAAGTTGTAGTATATGATTGTGATGGAATACTGTTGTGTTGTAAGAAATAATAAGTGGTTTAATTTTAGAAAAACATGGAAAAAACTTGCATGAAATGATGAAAAGTGAAATGAGCAGCACCGAGAACATTAGGTATAGTAACAGTAATGTTATTCAAAGAACAATTATAAATGACTAGGTTATTCTGAATATTATAAATACTCAAATCGACTGCAAAGGACCTAGGAAGGAAGATGCTATACATCTCCAGAGAAGAACCAATAGACAGAAGTATGCATAGTATGGTTTTACATGTATTTATATATCTGTGTCAAATGACAGCCTTCTCTAATGAGGGACGGGGAGGGAAGGAGACAGTTTGGAACTTAAAATGTAACAAAAAAATTAAATTTAGAAAAGAGAATTCCCTTGTAAATTTGTCTGGTCTTGATGATTTTTTCCTAGGGTGGTCACTGATGACTTGTTCATTTTCTTTTTCTAAGATCAAATCCTATTTAAGTATTTATTTCCCTTTTCTGTTAGTCTGGACAATTTATATTTTTGTAAATATTCATCCATTTCACTTAGATTGTCAATTTTGCTGGTATGTGATTGGACAAAATAACTCCCAATAATTGCTTTAATTTCATCTTCATTGGTAATGCATTCACCCTTTTCATTTTTGATACTAGTAATTTGTTTTTTTTAAATCAAATTAACCAATAGTCTATTTTATTGAATTTTTAAAATAAAACCAGCTCACAGGTTTACTTATTAGTTCAATTGTTTTCTTGCTTTCAATTTTATCAATCTCACATTTGATTTTCAGGATTTCCATTTTGGTGTTTAATTGACAATTTTAAATTTGTTCTTTTTCTAGCTTTTTCAGTTGCATACTCAATTAATTGATCTGTTCTTTCTTTTATTGATGTATACATTAGTAGATAGGACTTTTCATCTAAGTACTGCTTTAGCTATACCCCAAAACTTTTGTCATTGTTGTCATTCTCTTTAATGAAATAATTTATTGTTTTTGTGATTTGTTCTTTGACCCACTTATTCTTTAGGATTAGATTATTTAGTTTCCAATTAACTGTTAATCTATGCCTCCATAGCCCTTTATTCCATGTAATTTTTATTGCATTATGGTCTGAAAAGCAAACATTTGATATTTCTGCTTTTCTACATTTGGTTGTGAGGTTTGGATTGGTACATTTATCCAGCTTCAGTCATCATCTTGCATGGGTCAGACAGAGGATTAAAGGGTCAATCTGATCTTACGGGTAACTTATACCTCCTCTAAATTGCAGGTTTTGCTGCAGTTGGTGGGATGGAAGGGCTGAAGAACAAATACTTTACAGCCGTGGCCAGCAACCAGAGTGCCAACAACAGCTGTGGGTTGCCTAGAGATGATGCTTTCCATATTTTCCGAGACCCTGTCAATTCTGATCTTCCCTGGCCAGGGATCCTCCTTGGAATGCCAGTTCCTTCACTTTGGTACTGGTGTACTGATCAGGTACAGGTCAACCTCGCTCACCGTGTATCCAATATGCATCGCTTGATTTCAGTACATTCCTTCAATTCTATCTGTGATTCAGTGTAAGTCGTTGCCAGGCATTATGTGGCTCAGGTTAATTAATCTTCTGTCTGGACTGTATGTTGCTTAAAGACCTCTCCTAGGTCCTGTTTCTTTCTAATCTTGTCTTCTTAGAGTTGTGCTCCGATTCTTTTTTTCCTTTCTTCTCTACTTCCTTAAGCTCCCTAATGATGTTTAAATCAACCTAAAATTCCAAGTTTAGCAAAATGGGGGAAAGAGGATAGGCATAACTCTTAAAGAGACAGTACCTCTCACTTGTAGATGAACAGCGTCGCATTTTCAACACAATTTAACCTTCAATGTTAAAAACAGATGGAAAGCAATCAATCTCAAAAGAGGGCACTTTGGCAGGGGGAGGATGTTCAAAGCAGATATTTTTGGTTTGGTTTTGTTTTGGGTTTTTTTTGGTGAGGCAATTGGGGTTGACTTGCCCAGGGTCACACAGCTAGTGAGTGTTATGTGTCTGAGGCCGGATTTGAACTCAGGTCCTCCTGACTTCAGGGCTGGTGCTCTAACCACTGTACCACCTAGCTGCCCCACAAAGCAGATATTTTTTTAAAGCATTTTCAGCAAATACAGAAAATGTTCTAAATATTTCTCCAATATATTACATTTCTGGTACTGTTAAGGCCTATATTTTCAGTCCAGTTCTTCAACATATTTGAGTGTAAAGCCCTATAATTAGGGCAGCTGGCAGGCACACTGCCCTGGATAGCTGAAATTTAGAGGGTGCTGACAGTCTTTGTAATCTCCCTGGGGCATAGAAACAAATTAAATGAATGTCTCTTTAGCAAGAATAATTAATTAAAATAAGAAGGTCCAGGAACAACTTCTTCCTAGCAGCTACTAGGGAAGCAAGTGACCCCCTTTCCAATCTAGTTCTGCTCCCACCCTATCCATGCCCTCAGCAGCTTCTTCATCAGAGGACTCACAGTTTTCCTGAAAGTATTTCTTCTCCCTGATGATCATAGTTGAGATGAGCTCCCTCCTACCCTACCCCTCAAGCTTATAGCTTTCCTAGCAGTGTTTGGGTGGGATCTCCCTCATGTGCTGCTTGCCCCCAGTGCAAAAATTTCTAGTTACAGCTTTTTTTTTTTTTGGTGGTGGGGGGCAGTTGGGGTTAAGTGACTTCCCAAGGGTCACATAGCTAGTAAGTGTCAAGTGTTTGGTCTGAGGCCGGATTTGAACTCAGGTCCTCCTGACTTCAGGGCCAGTGCTCTATCCACTGCACCACCTAGCTGCCCTGTTACAGCTCTTTTTTGAGTGATTATAAATATTATGATAGTTATTTATTTGTTAAATGTCTGACTTTTTAAAAGGTTGGCTGCATTGTGAGGTGACTTTTTAAGTTATTTTTCTTTTGAGGGGAGTCAACTTTCACTATCATCCTACTCTGATGATTCTTTGTTGTCTGAAGATGACCCTGGGTTCTTGGAGGCTATACCAGGAAGTACAAGCCAAGGTTGTTCTGACAAGCTGAAAAGGCTCCAAGTATGGGCCCAGTGATCTACTCTATTATCTCTTGTCCAATAACTATCCTACTTAAACTAAAACTGTAGGGTAACAGCTTTTTTTTTTTTCAGTCATAGCAAGTCTCAAAATCAATTTTCTAAGCTAGAGAAGGGCTGCAACCTGCTTTAGTGGAAGGATTCCCTACAATGGTAAAATCACAGTTCTTTGAAATAAAGATCTTTTCAATAGTAGTGGTTAGTTATCTTTTTCTATGGGACCATATCTCTTAAAATTATAATGTAAACAAATGGGAAATAAGATTTGATTTACAAATATTTGTGTACCCCAAAATGTATTTCCTAGTATTTTCTTCTTCATACTTTCAGCAAAGATTCACTTGCACCTGACTCCAAGGAGAGAGATTGAAATAAAAAGCATGTGGGATTTGGTGGAGAAAAGAAAAATTTTTTGTTTCTGTTGGTTAGGTATGTTCAGTTCTTCATGACCCCATGAACCATACTGTTCATGGGGTTTTCTCGGGAAAGATACTGGGATGGTTTGCTATTTCTTTCTCTAGTGGATCCTTTTGTCAGGCAATCAGAGGTTTAATAACCTGCCTAGGGTCACATAGCTAGGAAGTGTCTGAGGCTAGATTTGAACTCAGGTCTTCCTGACTCCAGGACCAGTGCTTTAACCACTGATCCACCAGCTGCCTCTACTAAGTCTCCAACACTATCCATAGCACTACCTAGCTGTCTCTGATTAGATGTGGACTTATTCTGCTTAATGCCAAGAGGACAAAACTAAAACGAGTAGATGGAAATTATAGGTAAACTGATTCCAGCTCAGCTAGAGCTATACAAAAAATGGAATGAGCTGCCTCGAGGCATAATGTTCCCTGATGCTGCATGTTGTGAAGGAGTCACTGGATGACCTCTTGGGAATATTTCAGAAGGAATTCCTGTTTAGTTCATGATTAGATGACCTCTTCATATGCCAAGATTCACTGATTATATGTCAGTGGGAAAAAAATGCATTTCATTGAAAGTCCCTGATAGTCTCTAGGATGGAAGGAAAAAAAATATTGCTAATGATTCCAAAGAACACCTAACCTTGCAAAACATGTTGTCCCAAAAGTCTTAGTAACATTTTAATCTTTTAGTACTTAAATAGCTTAAGCTGCACTAAGACTTTCGGGACACTCTTGTATTAAGTCTTGAAATGTGTTTTGTCATGTTTGAAAGAAGATGTGTTCAATGCATGTTAAATGCCATAAAGAAGCAACATCATAAATGTTCACTCACGAAGAAAGATGCTGGTCACATCTTGACCTCTCATTCAAGGCTTTCCCCATCCTGCCCCCCTTGTAGAGGCACTTAGGTGTTGTAGTAGATTATCTACCTGAGTTCAAATCTTGCCTCAGAAACTTTACTTACTATGCAATCCTAGGCAAGTTGCTCTGTCTGCCCCAGTTTCCTCAACTGTAGAATGATAAAAATAGCATTTACCTCTCAGGGTTGTTTTGAGGATGAAATGAGATAATATTTGTAAAACATTCAGCACAGTGCTTGCCACATAGTAGGTATTTAAAATAAAGTCTTCTTTCCTTCATCATGCCTTTGCTAAGAATAGATAACATCACTTCTTAGACCAGGGGTGGGGAGCCGGCGGCCTTGAGGCCTCCTGTGGCCTTCTGGGTCCTTAGGTGTGGCCTTTTGATGGAGTCCAAGTTCTACAGAACAAATCTTTTTAGTAAGGGGATTTGTTCTGTGAAGTTTGGATTCAGTCAAAGGGCCACACTTGAGGACCTAGAAGGCCACATGTGGCCTTGAGACCACAGATTCCCCTCCCTTGTCTTAGACACTAGCACTGGCCAGCACTAGCCTGATCAGAGCTTCTTGCTTCAATCAAATTCAATTCCACAAACATTTATTAAATACCTACTATCTACAAGGCACAGTCCAGGCACTAGGGATATAAAGAATAAAAAGAAACTGTCCTCATCTTCTGACTTCCATGCTACCATTCACAGATAATGAAATGAAGAGGTCATCTAATCATGAACTGAATGGAGCATATACAAAGTAATTTCAAGAAAGAAATCAACTGAGCACATTAGGAAAGATCTCATGTAGCAGTTGTGTTTTGAAAATAGTCAAGAATTCTTTGGTGCTGAGGTGAGGAAGGAGTGCATTCCCAGCACATGGCATTGCTTGTGCAAAGGTGCAGGGGCTGGAAGTGGGCAGCTAGAAAACCAATTTAGGATAGAACCTGCTTTAAGGAAAAAACCATGAAATAAGACTAGAAAGATAAGTGGAAGTCTAATCTGTGATCCTAAGAAGTCCCACTTAGAGGGGACATAACACAGCCACCAAAGAAGCAATTAGAAGACAATGAAAGGCCACGGATAATTAAGAGACAAAATTAATAACTGTGGTAGACAGTAAGGACTCTCTATCATCTTTCTGACTTATACTTCATCAAAGGAGTTGTGTAGGAAGAGAGTTAGAAGTGATGGGAATGTGATTATTAATTATGTTGACTTAGAAGAATTTTCCCCTAGAGAAGGAACCTCGGACCTCTTTGCCTTCAATTTCCTTGCCGGGCTGGACATTGCATTCAGATTAAGGATGAACAAAGATGGAGACTGTAACATGCTCATCTCTCCCAATCCACTTGCATAGACTGTTCTCAGGCTGAGCAAGCAGCCCCTGGCCCCTCTGCTCCCGTGCCCTCCCAAGCGCCCTCTGTGGTTTGCAGGTCATCGTCCAACGGTCTCTCGCTGCCAAAAACCTTTCCCATGCCAAAGGGGGCTCGCTGATGGCTGCGTACCTGAAGATGTTGCCTCTCTTCCTGATGGTGATGCCTGGCATGGTTAGCCGAGTCCTCTTCCCAGGTGAGGGGGAGTGGGAGGAGAGCCATGGCCAGACCATTGACTGAGTTGATTAAAGCATAAACCTTGGAAAGACCATGAGTTTTGGAGCCAGAGGATGTGGGTTTGAATTCCAGCTCTGGTACTTACTCCCCATGCGACCTTGGCCTAAATAATTTAATGTATCTGTGCCTCATTTTCTTGTCTATAAAATGAGGGAGTTGGCATGTCTTCAAAGGCCTCTGATGAAGTATGTTACCTACCTACAGCCTAAGAGGTGATGGACACAAGGTGCAGAAAGAGACCAACTTTTGGGGATGTGGACACAGTGTGGATTCACTTTTGCTCAACTGTGTTTGTTACGATGGTTCCCCAATCCTCCTTCTCTTTAATTTATGGGGTTAGGGTACCAACAGTATTAAATGAAAAAGAGGGCCATTGTCATTTAAAAAAAATACACAAGAGGACAAAAGTTCACAAGGAAGTAGAGACACATAGGTTAGTTTTGAAAGGAACGTGTAGGAATTATTATACGTATTTTTAAAAAGACAGCAATCTGATATGGAGACTCATGTTTCCCTGTAGAACCCTCTTTTTGTGTTCTGCTGCAGGTGTGGAAATGCTTTTTTTGGTGTTTAAGTTCAGAATAATTTTTTTTAATTAGAAGGTATGGACCTAGATGATCATTTAAGGTCCTTTCCAGCTCTGAATCTATGATCCCATGAAGTTGAATTGCCCTTGGGGTCTCAGATTTATTTTCCTGGTGGCTAGAATAATTTTTGTTCAGTTGCTTTCCTGAACCAGTGTCTTTTCTCCAGCTTTTCCCCAAAAGAAACTTCTCCCCAATTTTCATTTTGTTATGGCCCAGTGCAAGGAGTAACTCAATGGTGGTCCAGGCTCCAGTCAGAAATATGCCGGCACCATTGGCCAGAAGAGGGTCAGAACAACCATCTGTGAAATGAGAGGATGAGACTGGAAGATCTGAAAGGTCACTTGATAATTCTGATGTTCCTTGAGCCTATTTGTCATATAAGGTTTATAGGGTCAGAAAATTTAGAGCTGGAGAGATCTTGAGAGACTGTCTTATCCAGACTCCTCCTTGTACAGCTGAGGAAATACTTACTGGCTCATTCATTCATTCAAATGCCTTCAACACCTACTGTATCCCCTGTACTTTACTAGCTATCATCGTTATTCAATCATTTCAGCCATGTCATACTCTTCATGATCCCATTTGGAGTTTTCTTGGCAAAAATACTGGAGTGGTTTGCCATTTCCTTCTCCAGCTCATTTTACAGATGAGGACACTGAGGCAAACAAGGTTAAATGACTTGCCCAGGGGTCACACAGCTAGTATGTCTCTGAGGCTGGATTTTAACTAAGGTCTTCCTGATTCCAGGCCCAGTGTTGTATCCGCTGTGCCACCTAAGTGCTCAGAGGGAAATAAGATGTAGTCTACCATCTTGTTGAGGTTTTCATCTAGTCAAGATAACATTCTGCATTTGCAAAGATAAATATGGCACGCACACACACACATACACATGCTTCAGGAGTTGATGAAGGGGCAGCTAGGAGGTGCAGCAGATAGAACACTGGTCCTGGAGTCAAGAGAATCTGAGTTCAAATTTGACCTCAGATACTTACCAGCTGTATGATCCTGGGCAAGTTACTTAACCCCGATTGCCTTACCCCCCCCCCAAAAAAAAAAGTCAATGAAGATTAAAAGTCTTCCTGCTGAGATTGAGAAGGAATGAGGAAAGCTTCATGGAAGAGGGGCCATTGAAACTTGGTGATGTATTTAAAATTGGAGATATGTTGTCCACAGGGAGTGATGGTGCAAAGGCATTTTGGGTGTGTAAAAGCAGGAAAGTATGAGAAGTATTTGAGGGACAGTGAATAATCCAGAGAGAGTAGTGTAAGAAAAGGCCATAAAAGTAGGTCAGAGCCTGACTGCGGAGGGCCTTGAATGACAGTTTAAGGAGTTTGTATCCCATCCTTTAGGGAAGGGAAGAGAAGAGAAGAAGCATTTATGTAGCACCTACTAATGTGCCAGGCACCATACTAAATAAACACTTTCTTACCACAACCCTGCAAGGGTGCTGTTATTATCCCCATTGTACAGGTGAGGAAATTGAGGCACAGAGAGGTTAAGTGACTTGCCTAGAGTCACATAGTAAGTAGATGAAGCCAGATTTGAACTTGGGTTTTCCTGACTCCAGGACCAGTGCTCTATTTACCATGCCACCTTGGTTTTAGGCACTGGGGAGCCTTTGAAGGTGGGAGACACATGGGTAGGGGCAAGGTGGAGAAGGGAAAGTGCAAAGAAGAGTTCCATTCAGCTTAATAGTTAAACCACAGAGATGAAACAAAAAGAACTCTAAAGACTCCAAGATCTGGTTAACTTGAAGGCAAACTAACCTCCCTTCCTAAATTACTTTGTATTTATCCTGTACATAATAATATGTGTTATCTTGTCTTTCCTGACAGAAATTCACTTGAGAGCTAAGATTGATTTTTTTTTGTATTTTCATCCTCATTACCTGGCATGGTGTCTGGTACCTAGTAGGTGCTTAATAAATGCTGTTTGTTGACTGTTTTATACCAGAAGAGGCAATCATTGGAGTCTGGCTGGCGGGAGGCCTCAGTACTAGCTTCTCACAGCCCTTGCCTATAGTACTGGTAAATTGCAGACATATGGTCAGACTCCATCTGTGATGTTCAAAAACCTCTTCTTACCTTAGAGGGTCCAGACCTTGAAGGGTGGTGGGAAAGCAAATGGAAAAGACTTTAGCTATCTCTGCCCTTTTTTTTCCCTTCAGTTCTGATGGAGAGTCGGGAGACCTGGGTTCTAATCTTTGGTCTATCATTTTAGGAATGTGACTTGGGAAAGTTTCTTGACCTTTCTATGCCTTAGTTTCTCCATTTGTAAAAGGGAGACACTAATGATTTCTGGGCTTACTTCACTGGCACTGTATGGATATCTCGTAAGAAGGGTTTTGTATGCTTCTGGGGTGCCAGAAAATGATTTTCCTGTGCTCTGAGCAGCCAGTTTCACCTTCCCCATTTATATTAGCCTGACAAAGTCATAGATTGAGGATCAGCCTCGTAAGTGGCTCAGATGGGGCTCTGACCCATGCCTTGCTAGATTTCCTACATTTCTGGCTCCTGGCCCCAAGGCAGGCTGGGCCTGCCCAGAGCTCAAGCTTCCTAAGCCTTTGTCCAGCCATATCTATCTTGCTCTTCCCCATGTGTTTTCCTTCACAGATTTGGTTGCCTGTGCTACCCCTGAGATGTGCCAGAGAGTCTGCGGCAACTCCGCTGGATGCTCTGATATCGCATACCCCAAACTTGTTCTGGAGCTCCTGCCCATAGGTATGACCTCCTCACCTCCCATGAAGACTACAGTGAGGAGGTGGGCTTTGACATTGACCTATTCTGGGTTCTGGTCATAGATAAATCTGAACTCCAAGCTAGGCTGGGCTCAAGGCTTGGCTTTAGGCTCTGGGCACTAGACTGCACTACTTATAAGTATATCACTTGCTACCCAAAATAAAGCAAAAAGCAGAAGATAACCTAGTGGCCTCATCCTAAGAGGAGCTGATCAAGGTCCCTCCTGTCCCCCCCCAGAGGACTCTCCACCTATTCCCCAACTAGCCCAAGATGGCAGGCGTTGCTAAAAGCAGAGCCTGGGGGCTGTTGGAGAAGAATGGAATGGGTAACAGCTGTTACCAAGAAGGAACTTGTGTTCCACCGTGGTCTTTCCTCTGCCTCCCAGGGCTCCGGGGACTGATGATGTCCGTGATGGTGGCTGCACTGATGTCCTCCCTCACCTCCATCTTTAATAGTTCCAGTACCATCTTCACCATGGATCTCTGGCTCCATTTTCGGCCCAAATCTTCTGAATGGGAACTCATGATTGTAGGCAGGTGAGGGGGTGATGCTGACCTCACCCCACAAATTCTGGCCCTCTTTGAAGTCGTATAGCTTTTTCGGGAGGAGACTAAGGGAGCAATCCATGCTGGACAGGAGGGAGGAAACAAAACTAAAAGATACAGTAATCCACTTCAAGTTCCTAGAGGTAGAACACAACTAGCCATTTTTCCGTCATGGTTGAATGGGGGCGTTTAGCAACCCCTGCCATTGTGGGGTAGATGGAAGGGAGTTCTTTCAGGCATAGGGGAGATCTTTCTCAGTTGCCCTTTCAAGCGGGGCAATCTTGGACTGAGGCCACTAACCATGAGACTGAGGAGACAACGGAGACTAAAGGATATCTGCATCTTCACATTAAAAACATAACATGTGAAACATGTGCAAATATCTTGCAAATAAGCACCTCCATTACATTCTTGGAAGGTGCCATGATACCACCTCCCTGCTCCCTCCCCTCTGCCACATTGACTTCCAAGGCTGACCTAGAAGTTTTCTGGCTAAGTGGGTAGGGGGAGGCCTTTCCCTATGGATGGGTAACGGAAGAGAAGGGAGAGCTAATGTTGGGCCTTTCTCTGGGTGGGGCCTGGCTGGACCAGAGTGTTTGTGCTGATGCTGGTCGTGGTGTCCATCCTCTGGATCCCGTTGGTGCAGGCGAGCCAAGGTGGTCAACTCTTCGTTTATATCCAGTCCATCAGCTCTTACCTGCAGCCTCCAGTGGCCATTGTTTTCACCATGGGCTGTTTCTGGAAGCGAACAAATGAAAAGGTAGAGTTTGTAGATTCTACGTTTGCAGAAATGTCTAATGTCAAGGTCGAAATGAGGCCTCGGAAGATCAAATGTGGCCCCTTTGCACACAGAATATCGCAGCTGCAGTGGGGATGATGGGCCTTAGAACATAGATGATCACAATTGGGAGGGACTTTAGAGAAATGAAAACAAAACTTCTGAATAGGAAGAAACTTCCACAAAATCCCAGGATTTCAGAATTGGAGAGGATCCCCACCATGACCTACTTAACAAGCAGCTATCCAACCTTTGCTTGAAGACTTCTTCACCTCTGCCTCTCCCTTACAGTTCCATTTCATTTAAGAGGACTTTTCTGATTCCCTGAGATGTTAGTGACCCCCCTCATGCCCCCAGATCATTGTATATTTATTTCACATATGTCTTATATTCACTTATATGTGAACATGCTAAGAATCCCCCAGGAAAATGTAAGATCTTAGAGGGAAGAAACTATCCCACTTTTGTCTTTGTATTTCTGGCCTAAAGCCTGGCCCAGGGGTGGAGAACCAGTGGCCCCAAGGTCACGTGTGGCCTTCTAGGTCCTGAAGTTCAGCCCTTGGACTGAATCCAAACTTCACAGAACAAATCCCCTTAATAAAATTTGTTCTATAAAACTTGGACTCAGTCAAAAGGCTGCATCCGAGGACCTACAGGGCCACACACGGCCTTGTGGCCCCAGGTTCCCCAGCCCTGGCCTAACCTGTTGTAAGCCCTTCCTTACTCTTTATTGATGGATTAGTTGATTGGCTCAAATGAGGGGGGAGCGGCACTCACTAGTTTAGGGAGGTTTTTCTTTCCTGTTTCCCCAACTAAGAACATAAGATGTCAGCCCTGAAAGGGACCCCAGAACATAGAGCCTCGGATTTCAGCACTAAAAGGGGCTTGGGAACATAAGAGCATAAAATGTAAGAATCAGAATTTCAAGACGGGAGCATAGAGTGTCAGAACTTGGAAAGAAGAAAGGAGGGAGCCAAGCATTTATTAAGCACTTGCTGTGTGCCAGGCACTGTGCTAATTACTTTACAAATATTATTTCATTTGATCCTCACAACAGCCACCCTGGGAAAAAGGTGCTATTATTACGCCCATTTTACAGATGAGGAAACAGAGGCAAACAGGTTCCACGACTTGCCCACAGCCACGCAGCTGTGGCCAGTTTTGAACTCGTCTTGCTGTCTCCAGGCCTAGCACTCTATCCACTGTCACATCCACCTGCTTCTAACGTAGAATGTCAAAGCTAGAGAAGACTTAGAACAGCAAAGGGGGCTAGGAGCATGTCGTTGCATTTTGCCATCTGGAGAACGCTACACTTAATGAACAGGACTCCTGGACTCTAAGATGCCTTTGTCTTGCTCGACAGGGGGCCTTCTGGGGTCTGCTGGTTGGCCTGTTCATAGGAATGATCCGGCTGGTACTGGATTTCATCTATGTGCAGCCTCAATGTGACCAGGTCGATGAGCGCCCAGATGTGGTGAAGTACGTTCACTACCTCTACTTCTCCATGATCCTGTCTGTCGTCACACTGGTCACCGTGGTCACCGTGAGTTGGTTCACAGAGCCACCTTCTAAAGAGATGGTACGTTCAGCTTCGGCTGTGGAATTCAGGCCCCACCCGGCCTGCTGGGTGCTGAGGGTGGCCAAGGCCAGATAGTCTTCAAGTGGACTTGGGAAGCCTCCCTTTACCCACTATACCCAAGGCTGCCCTGAAAGCACATTCCTGGTGGTGATGATGAGGCATTAGGGAGGGGGACAGGCAGTAGCTTCTACCTCGTGGACTCCCAAAGTCAGACGCACAGGCCATATGAGGTGGGAAAAACCTGAGAGAAATTCCTCACAGGCTGCGTCTTCTCCTTAGATCACTCGTTTGACCTGGTTCACTCGCCATGACCCCTTGATCCAGGAGGAACAGGTATTAGCAGACCCTTTCCCTCCGAGCTTCTCCAAGAACATGACCCCAGAAGGCAGCAGCGCCAGTGCCCGCTTTGAGATCACCCAGGATACGCCTTCTAAACTTCAAAGCAGTGAGTTAACCCTTAACTTCTTGCCTTTGTATGATTTTAAAATATTCTTCGCTTAAAGACACAGAGGCTCAAATGAATTATGTTTGTGCTACAAGGGATACAGCTCCATCCATTGCACCACCAACCTGCCTCTCCACCCACTGCACTCTCGGTGCTTATTATTTTATTTGGTCATATGAGGGATACCAGTGAGGAGCAGGCAGCAGCTTCCACCTCCTGGATGCCCAGAGTCAGATGTGCCCACTATCATCTAGAAGGAAGTTAAGAGAAAATTCCTTGCACGCTATTTCTTTACAATCCTTTACAGTCTTTGCTTCTGATAGGTCTGATAGTTTGATAGGTCAAAACTCTTTATTCTCTTCCCAAATATCAGCAGCATTTCTCTCTTCCCCCTTTTGCTCTGGTACTCCTTTTTAGGGGCCTTCTCTCAACTCCCTTGGTGATTTCTCTCATGGGAGACCAGATCTTTTTTCTTTTTTTTTTTTTTGGTAAGGCAATCAGGGTTAAGTAGTAAGTGTCAAGTGTCTGAGGCCAAATTTGAACTCAGGTCCTCCTGACTCCAATGTCCGAGCTCTATCTACTCTGCCACCTACCAGTCCCCAATCTACTTCTTGAAGAAAATATTCATAATATATGCATGTGAAACTTCTGCAAATAAGCCTCTGTTCTCTCATCTCTTGATCTTGAACTACATCTTCCAACATTTTTTTCACCATTCTCTCCTATTAGCATTGAAGCCACCAGAGACAGTAAAACTCAGCTATCACTTTTCTACCTCCTCACGCATCCTTAAGAGCCATCCCTTTATTTAGTCCCCATCAATTTCACTACCTGAGGGTTCATAGTGCCATCTTCCATCCTAGAGACTTGACTGTGTCCTTCTCAAAAGTGGCTCTCCATCAGTGGGCCCTCTTGTTGGAAGCAATGCTACTGAGGTTGCATTAGAACATGTCCTGTGGAGTATAAAGTTCCCTTGCCATCACACTGGTTTGCTTAGGACCCTGAATTTAATCCTTCCAAAGGTATCACAATGGTCCCTGATCTTCCTCCTGCCAGTCTTGCCTGGCCCAGGATGGGAATGCCACAATTTGTTGCAGAGGAGGTTCACTAAGGACTCTAAGTCACACTACATTTCTCTATAAGTTAGACCTGTACCTGAGGATCCACTGTCCTTAGAGTTTCCACCGGACTTCCTAGCCATAGTTTTCACTGTCTCTCAGAGGCACAGTTGGTATTTTATGGTTAGAGAAACAGGCATAATGAGCCACCACATCTATGTCTTCAACCCAGGACAAGCAGAACATGGTATTTTTTTTAATTGTAGATCATTTGTTTTAGGCAACACTACCGAAAAATCATCCAAAGTGAAGAAAGCCATCATTTGGCTTTGTGGAATGGATTCTGAGGCTAGTGAGACATCTATGAAGAAACCCGAACCTATTGTGACTTCTTTAGAAGAAAACTCTCTTGTCAAAAGGATTCTGAATATCAACCTGATCATCTGTATTAGTGTGGCCATTTTTCTCTGGGGCTACTTTGCCTAATGATGGTATTGGGGGTGGGGTGGGATGGGTTTCAAGGTTTTACTCTTCCTGATTTTTTTATTTCATGAAAACAGTGGTTGGTGGTTTTTTTGTTTTGTTTTTAAAAACCATTATGGTGTTGGTGTTTTCTAAACCTTTAACACAAATGACTTTTAGGTCTGAATTTTTGTGAGAGAGATGAAAAAATATGAGAAAGGCAAGCCATCTCCATTTCTCAAGTCCTTTGCCGGAAAAATGTACACAGTTCAGTGATTTGAGAGATTTTAAATGACAGAAGAAAAACCCACAGCTGTTACTTATCCATGCTCTGTTAAAGGGTGCCCATAAATAAGGTGTGAAATGAGATGGAGCTTAGCCAAGGGAAGGGGTCACTGAGCACCATATTGTGTTAATTTCTTTACACATTTTACTTTTATTGTTTAGAGAGGTAGCTTTGGCATAGTGGGTAGTGGGCTGGCTTTGGAGCCATGAAGACCAGAGTTCAAGTCTTGCCTGACACATACTGGCTGTTATTTGGGGCATCTCACTTAGAGAAGCAATTCTAAGACAATAAATTATAGAAAAGGTGGCAAGGAGGGAACTTCCTCATCTGGGGTATCTATCAGTGAAATCATAAGTATAGTCCCTAATCAGGGAACCAACCAGGAAATCCACTTCTGTTCCTATCCTTGGGCAAGTCATTTCCCTTCTCTGAGCTTTATCTTCCTCATCTATAATATAGCGTGTCCACGTGGGAAGGAGTAGGCATGGAGAAAAGATTGAACTAGATGATCATTAAAGGTCTTTTTCCAACTCTAATATTCTCAGGCTCTATAGATTATACCAAGGGTCTTCATCAATCAGCTTTCTCAACCAGCTAGGCTTAATAGAATCTAAGGAATAGATGGAGAACAATCACCCGACCACAACCAAGAAAGAAGTTACGGAGCCTACAGATTCTGTCTCCTGATTTCAGAGACATTAACCCAGGGAAACTCCTTCCCTCTTCCCCCAGAAAAATAGAGGGGCATAGGATAACTTTGGATCACAAAGATCCACTTCTCTACCCCCTACAAAGTGTTTAATATAAGATGGCCTATCCCTCTACTCTTGGGCTATATCCTTAATTGATCTAATGATTAGCCACTGTTAGTCTGAACACATTCACTACTTCTCAACTAGCAAAAATCCCTCCCTCTTTCTTAATCGCTTTGGAGGGAGAGAGGAATTTTGTGTGTGTGTGTGTGTGTGTGTGTGTGTGTGTGTACATGTAGATGTGTATGTCAAATTAGCAATTATCCAGGCTCTCTTCCTCATCAGAAAGCTTATAATGTACGAGTTACCTGTTTACGTTCACATTTGTACTGTATCACTTGGCCCATGTGTGATAAAGGACCTGCTGAGCATATTTTCTCCTTTTTCTAGCCTCATATGGTGTTCTGTGACTTTTAAATAAAATCGTTACCAGCTCACACATTGGTTTTCTCAGGCCTCCCAACACAGCACACCTGTGAAATGGGCATTCTCACACCCAAACCCCAACAGCCCTGGTCTCTGGATAAGTAGCTATTCCTGAGGCTAGTTTCTTAAAGGAATGCTCAGAGGATGATTTTCATTTTCTTTCTCCCAGCAACTTTAGTTCTTGGAAATGAATGGTGAGAAATGGATGAGATGGTTCCCTGCAAGTAACTTTGAGTTGTAGAAAAATCAAGGAAATCTAAACATTTCCAAGGCTAGCCCCATGCTCTTGTTTCTCTGCCTGCTCCCTTTTGGGGATACATCAGGAAAGGGTGAAAATGACCAGCCAATCCACACTAGTTGTGGTCCTCAGGGATACATGACCTTTTATTACAGATTTTCCATGGAAAACCAACCCAATGGCTGGCTCATCTTCTCATGGTTACCATTCCAAAGGCCTGGTTCCCAGGGGTCTTGTTGGAATTGGATGGGAGTAACTGGAAGGGGCACAGTAGGATTATCAGCCAGCTGAGATGGCACATATCCAGGCTGAAGGCCCGGGCTAACCCAAAAAAGCAGCAGAATGGAACAGGGAGCTCTCGAGCCTCTCGCTCCTATCACTATTGCCACTGTCCTGGCCCCCAAACACTTGGCTTCTGGGGAAAATGGATAGCAGAGCCTTTAGACCAAGTGTCTACTTAACTACTTGGTAAATAATGGTAGCCATCAACCAGGAGCAAAGATAACTCCAAACATCCTAGCCTGCTATCTATCAATCTTGCCTTCCATGCCATGTTCTTCTTTGACTTCCTCCTAGACCAGGTAAACTTCTGAACTCCCAGGCTAAGGCTGTTTGTTAACGCTTGTTTAATATGAGGATAAAGACCTAGGGCACTGGTTATGATTACAGCATAATGGAATGGAAGGGGATCACCATCCCCTTGGTGATCAGGAAACAGACTTTAATTTTCAACCTTTTCATTCCTTGTGGTTTGTAAGGCTATGGTGTAGACAGGGCAGGAAGCATTTTTTTTTGTTGGCTTTTTGGTGAGGCAGTTGGGGTTAAGTGACTTTCCCAGGGTCATACAACTAGTAAGTGTCAAGTGTCTGTGGCCAGATTTGAACTTGGGTCCTCCTGACTCCAGGCTGGAGCTCTCCACTGTGCCACTAGCTGCCCTGGAGGGAGCATATTCTGAAAGGCCCTTTTTCCACAGGCTGAGAGTGAACCCAATCTAACTTCCCTCTCAGACCTCTCCTGGGTCTGGCTGCCCACGGCGTTGCCCCACTATGGTCACAGTCATACCTGAAAAGCATTGCAGGGGGTTAATAAGCAGGGGCTCTGTAGACAGAGCACCTCTGGAGAAAGGCCACCAGAATGGTGAAAAAAAACTGAGATAGTGCCTTATAAAGGTCAATTGAAGAAACTATGGCTGTTAAGCCTGAAAATTAGAAGACCTAATTAGGGTTGAGGGTGTGAAGGAAATAACAGCTATATTCAATGACTCAGTGCTATCAGCAGATGCTCAAATATTCTACAAATTACTACTAACAATAATAAAATAGGGGTGGGCAGATGAAGTCGGTGGAGGTGGGAAAAAAAGTACTTACCAGCTGGTTCTCAGGAATCAGTACCAACCCTGGCTGCTTCTGTGGGGTCTTGTTCTTCAATAGCACCTTGGCCCTTAAGTTAGAAAATCTCCCTAACCTCATGTAGCTTTGGGTGGGGTTTTCCTCTCTTGCATCATGGGCTTAAACACGGAACAGTGCTGCGGGATTGTCAACTCCCTCCTGAAGCCTGAAATCATAGCATTAGAGCTGAGAGGGATGGTAGAGATTTTGCAGCCTTAAATAGTAATACAATGTATCTACCAAGTGCTCAACAAGGCTCAATCTAAATGTCTCCAGGGCTCACTAGCTGCCCCATTCCTCTCTCCCAGCAGCTCCAATTTTTCTCATCTCTCCTTTGCTTACACGTTCCAGTCTTCCAAGAGCCACCATGGTCCAATGAAAAAGGAACCGGATTTAAAATCAAAGGACCCAGGCTCAAATCAGAGCTGTCTACTACATGTGTGACCCTAGGCACGTCACTCTACTCCCCTGGGTCTATTTCTTCATCGGACCTCACATCCCTTGATATCCGAAGATGCCACGATCTTAAGCTCCTATGAATGTAGCACAGCCCAAGCTGACAGCATCTCCTCTAGGCAGTTGCTTCAGGGAACTTTTCAGTTCCCCTGATATTTACTATTAATTGTTTCCCCATTTAAAAGAGAACTGAGTACGCCTTATTTAAAAGTGTTTCTACTGTATGATTAACCATGATTCATCGAGATCTAGTTCTTGTGGCTGTTAAAGCATCTGCTTGGGACATGGTGCTTCTGGGAGAATCCTACTCTGCACTCCAAATTGCTGTGTACACTCCAACAATGCTCTGGGAGGGTTTCAAAACAGGCTTTATTACCAGACTCTGTTCTCACTAAGAGAACAGGTTGTAAGGTTACCACAGAGAAAGTTTATATATACACATAGCTTCATATCTGATTTGGCTTTTACAAAATGCCTCGAGAGATGGAAAATCCAAAGAGCTGAGTTTCCATCGAAACATCAGAACATTAAAGAAAATGAAAGGAATTATACAGATGGATAAACACGCTCCTACTGTGCGTGCTGACCTGGATATGATGAACTGGGCAGTAATTACATTCCTTTGGAGAGAGCATCCACACCTCAAACCAGCTCTTCCTATTCTAGCGACACAGGCCAGTTGCTGACACTAACAACCTATGTGTAATTTTAGGCCACGGAATCCCTGCTAAGTTATTGTAACTACCTCACTAGTATTCTGAACTGGATGGAGTGCTGGGAAGGTAACACATCTCAGATTCAGAAGGAAACTCGGTCACCTAGACCATAGCTCACAATCTAACTCAATGCTGATCTAAGCAAGCCGTCTACAATATCCTCAGCAAATGATCGATCTCTGCTTCGAGGCCACTAGGGAGGCAAACCTCACTACTCTGGGAGGAGATATCAGCATATTTTACCATCAAAAGGCGCAGGGAGATGGGAAGGGTGAGGTGGCTACTGGCGGAATTTTCTTCAGTTTCATAGATTATTCCCTCTCTTGCCATATATACAAACGTGTACATACATGTTCAGGGTTACTGATGTCATGTCAGTGGAATAAAGGACTAACAAATCAGTCATGTCCAAAAATTAAATGGGATAGCTCCATAGAGGTAGCGAGCTATTACTGGAGCTGTTCAAGCAGAGATGGGAAGGGATATGTGATCTCTGATGTCTCTTCCGACTCTGAAATTCTGCTGATTCTATAACAGAATTTGTTGCTATCACAGAACGACCACAGAATCCGATGGGATTACAAGTGTGGACATGCCTAATTATGGCTACTGTCATTGATGGCCAACCTGGTAACCACATTCCGACACACACAAAAGGCTACTGATATTTCTGTCTGACCACCAGCCTGCCATGCCTGACCAAAAAGCACATGCTCTGCATTTTGGCCACCATGCATTCTCCACAGAATTAAGTGGCACAAAGTACCAAATGAGAGGGTAAGGAATACTACGTGGGGGGGGGGGAAGTGAATATGAGTAAGAAGTGAGCTTGCATTTTAAAAGACAAAAACTGGCTCTACTAACCAGCTGCTTTCACATCTTTTTCTCTCCCTTCTCATAAGAAAAACTATTTGCCATCATTTGAGAGGGGATGCATAAAGCATGTTAAACTAAGGCATAAAATAATATAAATGAGCTTGCTATAGAAGATACTGCAAGAAAATGACTTTAGCATTCTGAAGAGTAAGAAAAGTACCTCCCCCTGTTTATCCACAGGGGGAGATGTCAGTAGCTACTTCTGTATTCCGGCCACAAACTCCATCACCATTAATTGTGTGTGCACTCCAAATTTTGCTCTTTCTACATATTAATCACACTGAGTAATCATACAACACAGGTACTCAGAGAAGGGTCTGCAAGGAGGAAGTGTGTTGCATACTTAGTCTTGGGATGGAGAATCACCAGTATGTTTATGCCTAAAATTGCTGGGGTGGGGGCAGACTAAGAATGAAAAGGTGAATAGTCTAGCTTATGGGAAATAATTTTGCTCAAAGCACTCAAGAACGTGCTGCCGCTCATGCAATTTGTATGTCATTCCCACTCACACGTAGGCAGTGGCAATTCACGGATCAGGGCTGTTTATACATCTTATGTAAGCGTAATCAAGTGGCCTTGCATACCTTGAATACATAATACATGAGTATTGACTCAGCCTTGCTCCCTGTGAAAGTTAATTTCCGTATCTTTCCAAGAACTATTGACTTTAACGAAACCAGATTATCTTATTTGGAATAAAATAAGACCAACTGTTACCTTCAACAGGGAGAACAAATTGGCAAATGTTAGGTTAAATGTATGCTTCCATTATAACTTCTATATTTACTTTAAAGACAGTTATTTGTGCATATTATTGGTATTTATGAATGAATGAAAATGTGTTAGAATTTTCATTATAGATAGCATGTTTGAAGTTCTGAATTCGTTTTGGCCTTGGGTTAACACTTTAATGTATTGATATCTGTAATTAAGGTTGTCTAGGTTTCTACGTTATACATAGATACATGTGTATAGTAAATGAGGGCTGTTACATGTGTACATACACACATGTACATACATGTGTATCAACTAATGATTCAGTTGGATTATAGCCTATACCAGAAAAGCATAATCAGCCAATTCAGTACAAGAGCTCTGCTTTACCTTGGGAAAGGCAATAATTTGTTAGTTGTCTAGCAATGGATGTTAGTTTGTTTAGTTTTCAAGTTTGACATATATGGAGAATAGAAAAATATTACCACCAATTTTTGGAGTGGTAGGAGAAAATGTTCCAAAGTATATAAGGCAGTGTGAATTGTGGGAAATTAGGAAATTAGAATTTGTTCTACTTTCTCCACAGCAGCAGCAGAAATAAACACACTGCAAACACTAGGTCAGGGCAGCTAGGAGGTACAGTAGATAGAGCACTGGGCTTAGAATCAGGAACACTCATGTTCATGAGTTCAGATCCGGCCTCAGACACTTAGTAGCTGTGTGACCTCCGGCAAGTCACTTAATACTGTCTGCCTCAGTTCCTCAGCTGTAAAATTAGCTGGAGAAGGACATGGCAAACTACTGTACTATTCAAAGAAAACACCAAAAATGGGGTCACAAAGAGTCAGACACAACTGAAAAGACTCAACAACACCGAACACTAGGTCAAGTGACTAGTATGACCCTTTTTTCTCCAGCAGTAATTGTGCAAGCTCCCTCCTCAGGGTTAGCCTAGGTAGCAGCATTTTTAAAGGCAGTAAGTACTTATTAAGAGTTTGTATTGAGACTTCTACCTGTAGGAATGATGTAGAGGAAGAGCTACACGTCTCCAAGAAGGCACCAAACATTCATTAGCAGCAGGCAGAGTAACCTTTGTTTATTCTATAGTCAATGGGAATATTCACCAATACATTCTCCAGAAATGAGTGTAAGTCACAGGAACTTCGTACTTTGGTCAAAGATCTGGGTTTAAATCCTAGCTCTGCCACTTACTAGCAGTGGGACTGGGCAAGTCAGGTTGCTTCTTTGGGCCTCAGTATAAAACGGAGATAATACTTGCAAATACCTACCTCAGAGGGCTGAAGAGCAAATTATGTATGTGAACTGTAATGTCACAGAAATGAATGACATTATTATTATTATTTTGGACAGGGGGAATAGAAAAGGGACATGAATTTTAGGAACTTATAAATTGTAATAAAGAAAGAAACAGCATGGTTAGGGACAAAGCATGCTAGACTTAAAGAGTCAGAAAGAGCTGGATTCAAATCCTGCCTCAGCCACTTACTAGCTGTATGACCTGGGCCAAGTCATTTACCATCTACTGGTCTTGGCTTTCTCATCTGTAAAATGGGGATAGCACCTACCTCTCAGGGTAGTTATGAGAAGGTACTTACAGGGCTTTACAAACCTTCAAGTGCTATGTAAATGTAAGTTGTTATTATTCTTATTACAGAAGTTTTGAATTCTGTGACTTAGAACCAGAAGAACTCAAGATTCTCTAAGATGCCAAATCCCATGATGTGTAAATGATACTCAACAAAAGCAAACACACCCAACATTCTGCCTTGAGATATGAGTTTCATATAAACCAAAGGGTACAGTTAATTCAAATTAACCACGAGGCTAGAATAATGTTCAGTCCTTATCAAGTAGCAATGAAATGGTTAAAAAAAAAAAGGGAACAGTACATGTCTTTCTACAGTCCAACGGTCCCAAAAGGCACTAGATACATCCAGTTTAACATGGTGACAGATCCAGCAGTCACCGCCAGGGGGCACAAAATCGTTCTGCAGTGAGTCAGGTAGAGTAACATTTCTTATCAGACAGCTCCTCTACCATGAGGTCTAATGTTCAGGAACAGAAGCCCAAGGGGCAGGAAGTAGGAGGCTTGCATAATTAGTGTGTTTTATTAAATAGTTAATGCATTGTTTCTTACTCATTTGGAACGGCTGTATTGACAGCAGCAAGTAAAGCTTCCTATGTAAGTTTCCGCAGCTAGATTCTTTTGGCCCTGTTTTTTGTTGGTGTTTTTTTTTCCCTTCCCACTAAAGAAAATACAACTTCTGCAAGACCCAGATCATTTTAGCTTTGAGTGAAAGCCCCATTGTCTCTTCTTGCTACGCAGCAGGAAAAACCCTGCATAGCAGGGCCGTTATCTCCACCAAAAGCTTTTCACTGTTTGGTCTGGATGGAGAGGGCGTTCATTTTTCCTTGCTCCACTCAAAGGGAAGGAAAGGGGTCAAAGCACTCAAGGGGTTTTCTTCACAAAGCAGTGCTCTCTGAATCATTCTCAATGTCCAACAATAGGCGGCTGGCCAGGTCCTTGCTCACTGGCTCCATGTGGATTTCAGGAAAGAGGTTGCGAAGCTGTTCTGGAACATTAGAATTGGAGTCTGGATAGAAACAGGAAAAAACAATGTCATCAATAAATTGTAGAGGGCAGGCCCTTAAGGAACAGCGCAAGGGGGATGGTTTACTTAAGACTGTATCCATGTACACACATGCTGTCCTGTCCAACAGATGGGCAATCAGGAATCAGGTTCCTAGCAGAGGGGTGGAGGCATCAACTAGCCTAGTGACACTCCACTCCACTAAAACCACTCCCCAGGTCTAGTTTCCTAGTCTGTGGAACGGAACTAAAAATCTCTATCCTCAATGCCCGACAAGCTGTTGTGAGGATCACATGGGCAAAGGTAATGGGAAAACACTGTGAAGAACCATACAAACTTCACACATGGTGTGCTTATGGTGTTCTCTATTCGAACACTGGTATTTTTTTCCCTTAGTTCTGCTCAGCCTAGCAGATCTTCGTAGTGAAGGGAAAGAAAAAAACCTTAGAAACTGGTCCTCAGATATAAATGTTATGATAGGAGTAGGGAGCCTTCTTGCCAATTGCTCTATTAGAAGCTTTCTACAGCAACTTTTGCCAGAGAAAAAGGTTGGTTTCACTTGTCAGAAACTGTCCCCTGAGAACAGACAGTCTTGCCCTACTGAAATTAGTGCTGTGCTACCCCGGAACAGGCAGAAGAAACCTGGCTAGGATGTCAAATGGAAGTTCCTCAAAGGAAACTGGAACTTGGTGCTCTGAACAGTTAAAAGGGGTGGGCTAGCAGAACGTAAACAAGTCCCTTTATGAGGTAGGACAATAGCATGTAACTGCTGCAGTCTTCCAAAGTGTACAAAGGCATTAACTAGTGCCAGGAATAAGTCCTACTAAAAACAACGTCTCCCTAAATATACTAAACCCCTAACAAATCTTTCCAAAACCTCCACCAGGCTAATGTCTGCTGCTGGGGGCCCGAACGATAAAGGAGATAATGGTATTTGTGCCACTGCCATCAGAAGCTTGGCAGGGTGGGAAAAACATCGAACTAGAATGAAGGTAACAGAGCCTCAAACTCTGTCACTCGCCAGCCACGTGACAAAGGCCATGCCAATACCTCCTTCTAAGCCTCGACTTCTCATCAGTGAAACGGAAATAACTTTTTCAGCTTGCCATAAAGAGAGGCTGTATATAATATGTAAAGTGCCTTGGCAGTTTTAAATTGCTATGGAAATGTTAGCTAAAAATAACAATGAATAAATGATTAGGATATAAGAAAAAAGACAGCAACACATCATACTTGGGCAGATGGGGAATAGAACCTAGGTATAACGGTGGGAGGGAAAGGCAGCTGTGCTTTACTTCCCAGTATGAACATCAGGAGGTCCATGCTGGGTCAGGCTCATTTTAGCTCTGAAAAAGACAGCAAGAGTTGAGTTATAGAAGAATACAATTCTTCACATTACCTTCAAAGTGTAGGAAATGCTAACAATGTTCTAGTTTCTCTTATTAAACCACAGAGCTTTGTCCTCTACAGATTCAACTACAACTTTTGCTGTATCTTTTGCTCCTGTTTTACCTTCTTAGGGTAACATGATCCATATATCCACTATCCTGTATCTCAATCAGTAGGGGTACTTTTTATTTGTCCTAAATGTATCTTTCTTAAGCTAAAAGGGATTATCAGCCTGGTTGGATCTGCAGGAGCTGAGCTGTGATTATGTTTCATTAAGATTAACAGATATTTATCAGTATGCTGGTTTATGCAGTGCCTCCTACAGGAGCCCTCCTTCAGCGCTGCACTGGGCTGAGAAGTCTTGGGTGTTTGCAAAGAGATACACTCAAGTTAGTAAATCTGGGTTTTTCAACCCTACTCTGCTACTACTTACTAGCTCTATGACTTCTGGTAAGTCACTTCACTTTCTTAAGCCTCAGTTTCCCTATCTGTAAAATGTGGATAATATCACCTGCCATGTCAGCCTCATAGAAGTAAATGAGTACCAAAATGAAAATGTATACCAAAATAAACTGTCACTTAGTAAGTGCTAAAAAAAAAAATAAAACAAAACCAAAAAAACAAAAACTAGTGAGCATGGGAAGAAAAGAGGGAAAGCAAGAGAAGAGGGCTTTGAGCCCTCAGGAAAAGTGAGCCCTGCATGTTACAGCATACAGAGTAGGAACATGTGACTAAGGTGAGCAATTTTTCTATGCATATTTAGTTCATATGCTGAGACTTCTCAAACTCTAGAGCAGATTTTTGCTCTCAAAAGGCTTGTGGAAAGTATGATGGCATTCCAAAGGAAGAACGTTAGATGGTTGCAGTCAGTCCTACAGTCTCAGTACAAAGCTGAGGAAAACTCCCCCCCTCTGACCTTAATCCCTTGGACAAGGTGAAAGTGATCATCAATGACCATGGGGGACTTTCTGCTTCAAGGTGTCCTGAGTGATTCTGGTCACCATGATCCTGTGCAAAAAAAGCTTTGGGATAATAAAGATCCCTCCATCTTCACTACAGACATTACCTGAGGTCAATTCAGTGACTACAAAAGCCAGGTTGTCTGCTGCTCAGAAGTCCAGGCCCCCATCTGACCCCGAGAAGAACCTGTAAAGTCACTAGCATGCAGGCACTGCTGGGGCCACAAAGTGGGCCAAGGCTTTCCTTTCTCCCAGATCCCCCCTGGCCAATCATCCTCTCTTGCTGCTATGGCTTTAGCTCCTCCCTCCCCCCATCACGGCTGCTTCTCACCGGTCTCTTCTCCCTTCCCTCCAGCCTTCACATCCCTGAACTTCTAGCTACTAAGAACACTGATTTCCCATGGTTTGCAAACTAACCCCTCTCTACGACATCATCTTTAAACACCAAGCCTTCAGATCTTGATGAGTCCTAGACTTTTTGTTGATTTCTGGGTTGCTGGACTTCTAGACAATTAATGACTTAAAATTATTTTATTAACAGAAACTTAATCGTTTTGGGTAACTTTGGCCCCCTTTTCTCTATGCCTCAGTTTCCATATCTATAAAATAAGAGGGCTAAAGGGGACTGGGCTAGATGGCCCCTGAGATCTCTTCTAGCTATAGATCAATGGCCATGTGATCTCTAAGGTACAACTGTCTGATTACTGCCAGCATTTCCTGTGGGATTGACACAGTACCTACCTTGAAGTCAACACAGGTATAGCCTTTATGCTCTGTGCAAAGCACTTAACCAACACCAAGTTCCATAATTTATTTTACCAGATACATTCCTACTGACTGATTCAATTAGATGTTTAGCTGTAAACAAACTTACTCTCACCATTTTTCCTCATGGGTCAAATTGGATAAATAGCGTAATGTACGCAATCCCGGGCTCAAAGTCTGGAACACCTGGGGTTCGGCATCTATCTGATGTTCACTAGCTGCTGCATGACTGGGGGCAAATTACTGAGCCTCTCTGAAATTCCATTTCCTCTTCTGTGGAAAGGGGATGACACTGAAGTACCTACCGTGCAATGCTGTTATAAGAGTCACATAGAATAATGTTTACAAACTGCTACAAGAACCTTAAAGCTCCACAGAAACGTCAGTGAATGGTTTTGCCAATAACATGTGGGCAGACAGGGGCACCTTGCCTCCTAAATGCCCCCTCTCATTGGTCTGAGGTGGAGGGGCAGATCTCCATCTCAACCAGAGCTATCTTTCCAAAGGCCACCTTATATTTGTGTACATAGGGAAAGTGAGGATGATGCCTCTGCAAACGTGGACACACCGAGGATAAACATCAGGTCCTGCCCGAATGAGATGGACTTTACCTTAAGAGATCGTTCTCCCCCTCCTTCAGTATACTGTGGGGAGACAGGAGAGAGCTGCTGTTCTAGAAAGAGAAATGCATGTCACCCTTCCCCCTTCCTCTTAAAACTCTCTTTTGAACATAGGATGGGCCCAGCAACTCTCCACCCCTCTACCCCCTCCCCACCAAAAAAAAAAAAGAAAAAGAAAAAAAAAGTGGCTTTTTCAGCATGCATATTCTAATAATGAAATACCCCTTCAAACAAGCTTACTTCTAATCACAGGAGCTCACTTCTGCTGGTGGTCATATAAAAAGGATTTCAACAACTGGCTGGATGCTCCAGAATGGGAAGAGTTTAGTCACTGATTTCAGACCACTCCCCTCTACAACCACTTCTCTCCATTCAAGGAGAGAGGCATCAGAGCCTAGAAAGGCCATTCTCTATTATCAGAGGACACTTAACACACATGGAAGATAGTTACTCACCACTCCAAAGATGGAGAAAAATGGCCCTTGGATTTAGGTCTAATACTTCACAAAGTCAGATCACTATTCAGCAGCCACTTATTTAGAGACATAGAGTTAAAATGACAGTGACTAAAAGGAGACGATCATGTGACTGTGTAGACTACTCACCCCTAAAAACATTTCCTTTAACTATGGCCAAAGGGAATGGCCTTTCCCCATAAACTTGTGGTTTTGTGCCTCCAAAGGACACAAGCACAGGACTTGGGAGTCAGGAAGACCTGAGTTCAAAATGCTACCTGAGACACTGTGGCAGAACCTGCGTCCCGCTGTGTGATTCCAGGCACGTCACTCACCCACTGCGAGCCTCAGAAATAATCATAGCACCTGTCTCACAGGGTTGTGAGGGTCAAATAAGTTAAAATATGTCAAGTGTTGTGCAATTCTCACAGTGCTATCCAAATGCCAGCTAACATTAAGTATTATCCCACTGGCTATTTACAAGAAGCTGGGCTTTAGAATTTTGGGGGGATGGGTAGGACTCAACAAAATGGACAGTTCTCTTTTACTGACCAATGTGGTGACCATGTCTTCATCTGCAAAATGGGCACATATTTAGAGGAATGTGGTGAGGCTCCAGTGAGATGATAAATGTAAAGTATCCCTTAAATGTGAATCATTATCACTGTCAAGTCAGTCATACAGGGTGTGAGTATTATTACTCCCTCCTGTCAGCGTAGTCGTGTTACCACAGGTTTACATTCCAAAAGACTTTCTTTATGATCAGCATGTTAGTGGGTAGATGAACACATGAAATTGTGAAGCTCAAGCTACACCACTGACCAGATGTGGCTGCTGAATGTAGCTATTAGGATAGATTACCGTTAAATGGCAGCTAATACAAGGCAGTCTGGAGGCTAAAGAAGCAATAAGGCCAATCTCAGGACACCTGCTAACAGACCCGTGAACATATTTAGGATCCATATTAATTCAGGGCAAGCGTGAAATAAAGCCACTGCTTCTTAGGTCATGCACTATTAGTGGGGATGCAGGCAAGCAGGGTTAGGATAACCAGTTAGTAACAGGCACTTGTGCACAAGTATGATCGTGAATTAGCAAAAAATATTCTGGCCAATCATATGCCTTTTCCTTACCATTAAACTTCCAATTTCAGTTCCTACTGAATAATGCAGGTCATACATCTAAATTATTTAATAAAATTGTTCAATTAGAATAATCTTTTTCTATAAGCTATTACTTCAACATTACTATGCCTTACACTGCCATCTTACTCAAGAGGGCAAAAAACTCAAGCAAGAAATATCTTTTTCAGGGCTGCTTTGCTTGAGGGACAATTAAAAGATGGTTCCCATTTATATACAGAAAATTTCCATTCTTGGGTACTAGGACCGTATCTGCTGCAAGGCCATTGTTGATGTCTGCTGGGACAGCTACCGTTTTACCAGAAACCCACCTCTTTGTTCTCAATGTCTCAATTCAATGCCTTTAAATTCAGTGCTACTGTTTTCAAGAACATGTTTCTCCCAAGTTTCTTAAGTGACTACATTATTCAGGAACACTGGCCCTTTCAGGGAGTGCATAAAGTGACTAAAACGGCCTACTTTTAAAAATATCCAGACGCAGCATGATCTAGTGGAAAGATCACTGTATCTGGAATCCAAAGGTCTGGGTCTGAGTCTCTGTCACCCAGTATTACCCATGCAGTACTTGACCTTTCGAAGAACATTCTGTCAACTGTAAAATGGGAGACCTTAATTAGGTGATCCATAGCTGGGTTCTTAACTTGGGGGTCCATGAATTTCTTTTTTTTAAATATACTGACAAATGTATTTCAATATAATTGGCTTCCTTTGTAATCCTATGCATTCTGTTTTGTGCTTTTAAAAAGGAGTCCACAGGCTTCACCAAACTGTCAAGGGGGTCCATGATACACAAAAAATTTAAGAATGTCTGACTTATAGTATTCTTTCTAGCCTTGAATCCTAATACCCTATGAATGTTTATGACAAGAATGATTTATATACTACTGGTATTTCTTGTATGACCACAGGTAAATGGCCTCTAATACGGCCTTGAAAGAACTCCTAAAACGATGTTAATTCGGTGATACAAAGCCAATGAGGTTATGTGGAATTCCTGGATTTTGGGGCTTGCTTCAAAGAATTACTGTCTGACAAGCTTCCAAAGATCATCTGACAAATTATATTCAGTAAATTAAGCATAATTTTAATGAATCACGTAAAGCAATACCCAACATAAACACACCTTACATAACAATGGAATTAAATGCAGTCTGATTCAGGCTCATTTCATTGTATTTTCATTCACACAGAAGTACATCATTTTGGTGCTTTGCAGCTCAAGCCACAAGATTCTGAGGGGCCCAATTCACACTGACAAATGGCTTCCATGCCCTAAGTTGGTGGTGGTTTTGCACTGACTACAACTACAACCTTCTTTCTCCTACACAAACTACTGGGGACAATAAGGGTGGGGCAGTCAAGGGCTGGATGGGAGACAGTATCCCTCCCTGCTGCACTCTGGCCTTTAAAAAAAAAAAAAGGTCACTGGGATTTGTACAAGAAACCAATGTAAGGCTGGAGGCTATTTTTCCTTTGGCTAAGGAGAGCTTGTACAAAAGTCACACAACTTGAGGTCTATTTTTCGCATAAGGCTGATTAAAGCAATTCCCTGACATAATGGAAACCCTTCCCCCAGAAACTAGTATGGACAGATCCTCTGGGAATAGTTCAGCTGATCCAGATAACACTTTTCACAAAGGTCACATGGTTTAAAAGAAAGCAAATGCCAACATGCATTTTAGAAAGCAAGGGATTTATTAGAAATCTTTCAGGGAGCATTTTTTTGGGTCCTCAGCAATTCAAACTGCACATGGGTAGGTTCCATGCAGTTAACACAAATTAACACAAATTGAAGGTAAAAAGCTCGAGATGCAAAGAACACAGCTTCCTGTGCTAATTGAACCCAAATTCTTTTTAGCTGGGAGCCAGAAACACATAAATCACAACTAGATGCAGCAAGGGCTGGCTGGAGCTTGTTTAACAGAAAACAAGAGAGACCACTGTCATATTTCTTCATGGTGAAATGAGTTCTCAACCAATTGGGTTTTGTTGTTCCTGCTACTTAGGTACCTCTACTGTTATCAACTGTCCTGCTGTAAAATGCAGAAACAATGCCTACTGGTCATGGGGTGGATGGCACCAAAAGAACCACAATATGGCACCAAGTAGTGGAACAGTGAGTATGGAGTCAAAAGCACATATGCAAAATACATATACAGGCAACACAGCTAAGTAGGAGCATGAGGGGCTACAATGCAGGCTATTTCTGGTTGTTACAAACCTCAGTCCTGGCCATCTTCCCAACCTGTGAAGGCATTAGGAAGTACATCTATTAGACATCTCCAAACAAACTGGCTTTCTTTCTAGAAAGGCACAGCGTCATCAAAAAGGAATCAATCATTTAACAACCAAACTAGTACGTTATAAAGAAAAGCATACATCTCCTGAAAAGCTGGTGAAAGATGCAAATTCTAATGAAGCAATCAATTAATGGCATCATGGATTTTGTTTCTACATTCTACCTATGCAACTGTGGCTCAGCAAATGCAGTAACCAAATGTGGGTTCAGACTTCTAGATCTTAGATTTTTTCACCTATAAAATGAGAGAGACGGCCTAGAAGATCTCAAAGGTCCTTTCCAGCTTTATGCATTTAAAAATGTTTGTTAGAGGAGGGGTCCACAGGCTTCACCATACCTTGGGGCTTTGCATAAGACAATAATATGGATATTGGCTAGTTTTCAGCTAGAAAGTTAAAAGCACAGCTTCAAACAAAAATGGCATGTCTACCACTTCCACAAAATGTCCAGTGCTGAGAATGGGGCAGGTAATTAATGTCTGAGGCTTACTAACGATCTATGTGTGTATATATAAATATACACACATAATATTTATGTATATGCATATACATGTATACACACATAATATTTATGTGTATATATATATGTATATATGTATATATGTGTATATATATGTACACACACATACACGCTAAATACAGGTGTCCTAAAATGAAACACTGTCATCAGTCTGAATTTTTTTTTGGTGCGGGGATGGGGAGGACCCAGTGGCTCTAGATTTGTGATTTCACTAGTACAGGGAACTCCTACTACTGGTGCATATCAGAAACTCATCAATAACTGACTTATAGTTTTAGTTTCCTGGGGCACTTAGGGATTGTCTTGCTTAAGGTCACAGTGCAAACAGAGGAAGGATTTGAACCCTGCCCTTCACAACTCCAAGGCTGACTTTCTATTACACCATGCTGTTTAAGTAAATTAATCCTGTTATCAGCAACCAAATCAATAAAAAACTTATTGGTCAGCTGCTTGGAGGCAGCATAGAACAGACAAAAAAGTAATGGCCTGGGAGGTGAAGACAAGGGCTCTAGTTTGAGCTCTTCTACTAATCCGCTGTGTGACCACAGCGAGTTGTTTCACTTTTCTGGGCCTCAATTTTCTCACCTGTTAAACGAGAAGGTCCTTTCAGTTCTAACATTCTATGTTGCAGGGCCCTCTGTACCCATCTCTACCCTGCTCTAAAATGTTATGAGTACTTACTAAATGCTTTCTTCACCATGCTAGCTTTCCATTCTGATATACTATGTGCAAACGAAGTTTCAGAGGACTTAGCAGAGGAAGGGTGGTTTTTGGTGCTGGGAGCAAAAAGAACAATCACCAATATGGCCATGCTGAGGTGGACTTCACACACTGTAAAACCGGTCCAGTTCTTCTGGAGAGCAATTTGGAACCTGCTCCCAACTGAACAGAAAATAAGAAGATAGCATCCCAGGTTGCCTGTAGCATATTGCTTTGGTATCTCATAGCTCACACATTAAAAAATCTGTGCTGCCCTACAGGGAGTACGTGTAAATCTGTGATAATCACCAACTACAGTACAATAGGTTTCCACTGCTGTGGGGAGAAAAATCTCTCTTTACCAACTTTACCCTTGAAGCACAAGGTACCAGCACTTTGAAATAGAACCAGGATATAGAAGGAAGGGGTTTTTTTTCATTTAAATATTTTTTTAAAGGTCCTCCAAAGAGGAATACCTACAGATATTCCTGTTTCAATGAAAGTATATCCTTCTTACAGGGAAATGAAGTATTTCGGCCAGAACAACCATGCTGCATGTGCTACCATCATCTCCCTGTAAAAGCAGTTACCTAATCTGCATTTAAATGTAGGGCAGGTCTGAAACACCCACCTGGCCTCTCAACAAATCCAGAACTAACCCCCTGGGCCTGGTCTGCAAACCAACGTAAAGAGAAAGGAGAAAAACACCAGTGAGGTTCGCTACTTACCAGTGACTATTTTGGAAGACGTCTGGGTTGGGATGACAAGGCCACCATCTCCCGCTGAATGAGCTCCAGGAGGGTGGGGAGGAGGGGGGATACTAGGGCGGTTCCTTGGCTTTGGTACTGGTCTTGGTCTCGGTAAGGTACCAGTGTGTGGAGGTGAATGCTGGGCTTGAGAAATCTCTGGGTTACTTGCTGCTTGGGGTTGAGATGTCTGGAGAGCAGGACCCTGTTTTCCCAAAGGCGGTGTCCCAGGAGGGGTTGGCGTCGGGGGCGGGCTGTGAGCTGGCTGCTCCAGTCCGTGCTCACTGACCGGTGCCGCTGGCTGGGGTGGCACCGGACTGTTTAGCTTGGTCTGAGGTGGAGGCGTAGCCTGAGTTGGGGGCTGTGGAGGTGGGTGGTTTGGAGCCTGTATTGGAGAGAGGCTACTGGAGTACCTCCTGGGTGCGGAGAGCTGGGGGGCAGCGGAGGTCTGGCCTGGTGCTTGGTTTGTGTGATTTGGAGGAGAAGGACTTCGAGCGGTTGGCTTTGGTGAGATGGAAGGAGGCTGCTGGGATGCTCCTGAAGAACCCTGACTCCCAGGCTGCCCAGGGGGTGGATTTCCTGGTTTGGGAGGGGCTGGAGCAGGTTTCTTAACAGCTGCATATGGAGGGAAAAAAACAACCCACCAAAGCACCCATTAATAAGAAGAGTTGTGAAATTAGTGCAACTATTCTGGAAATCAATGTGCAATTGTCCCTAAAGTCAGTAAAATGGGAATACCCTTTGACCCAGTGAATCACTATTAGATTAATACTCTCAAGAGATCAAAGGGAAAGGAAAAGGACCCATATATACAGATACATTTATTGCAGCTTTTTTTCGTGGTGACAAAGAACTAGAAACTAAGGGCATACCTGTCAATTGGGGAATATCTGAACAATGTAAAGAAATGCTTTTGTGCAATTTGAAATGAGGAAGAGGACAGCTTTTTGAAAAACCTGGGAAGATTTTCAAGAGATGATGCAGTTGGGGAACAAAACCAGGAGAAAAAATTATACCATTAACAGCACTATAAAAGCAAGCAACTTATGGACTGTGATCAAAGCAGTGATTAACCATGAGAGCAGTGAGGAAGAAAACGTCACCCATCCCCTGAGAGGGAAGTAATGAGCATATCTACAGTGAGACACGCTTTTTGGTCTTGTTGACTGTATGTATTTGTTATGAGGGTTTCCCCCCCCCTTCATTTTTCAATAAGGGGAGCAGATGGGAGGAAAAGAAAATAGGTTTTTGTTAACTGAAAAATAAAAAAAAAATTTTAAACAGAGTTGCCACCAGCTAGTCAAGCACTTTATTGCACAGGCATTCAAAGAAGCCTTTATTTGAAATGTTCCTTCAACAACAAAAACCCAACCCATTAGTACCGGCAATCCTGTACTTAAAGACCCCTCCCTCCATCCTGCTTTTCCAAAGCCACCTCCATCATGGATGTAACAACAACAAAAAGCAAAACGAGCTTTTACAGGCTGAAATGAAGCAGAAGTGGAAAAGACCTTGAACTCTGCAATCAAAAGCTTGATGGTGAATTACCTGCTAGTATAATATTCTAAACTGCCCCAAGAGTTTCTTCAAGCCAAATCTCCAACACCCTCCTCTCAGTCCTCACCCTCCCTGAGCTCTCTAATCAGACTCCCTATTTCTTGGAAGTGTCTTGCCCCATGGCTTTTGTAATGATATTCTCCTTGTTCTCCTCTGGAACAAGTATAAGCTAACAGGCCTTGGGGAAATTACTCTAAACTATGCTTCAAGCTTCCTCCAAAGCTCTGTCTGGAAGGGGAGGTGACCCTGGGCTCCTGAGGGCTATGACAGTGGTATGCAAACTCTGCAAGGTCCCACCGAGCTGGAAAGGCTGGGACCTGGTTGCTGACTGAATGTTTTCTGAGCACTACTCTAGCCAAGTGTGGACATTACTAGGTAAAATCACCAGCCCAGTGAATCTGAGCAACATAACATGGCATACATGCTGTCCGCTAAGCTGTAATTGGGTTAGAATCTGAGTCAATGAAGTAGGAGCCACACTAACAAAATCGTAGAACTTTAGAAGTAAAGGAGGCTTTAGAAGCTGATGTGCTTAAAGTTCTACTTTACAATAAAAGAAAATGACCTGAGATCAATTGTAAAGTGCTCTCTGAAGACCACTGCCCAAGGTACTGCTGTGAAAAAATTCCAACAAAATGTTGGGGAATTACCAAAATGGTGTGAAAGACAAACAGAAAATGACACTCTATCTCGTAAGAAAACCTCATTCTCAAGGTCTGGTGCCAAAGGACACCCTAGTGGGTGAGGTCATACTAGGTAATACCTAGTGAGTATTAGGGATAGCTAAGGATAAAGAACTGTAGTGCAGGCTCATAGTTCAAATTACAGAATCAGACTTGTGAATTTTTGGGACAGAGATGGTATATACTTGCAGCCATGGACCACAGTGGAATGTGGCTGAGCTCTCTAATGAGGTGGAGGGCCAGACTGAGCCTTGAAGGACATCTACAGTACCCTCCCACCCTGACTTTATTTTAGGTCCTCATTCCCCAACTTTCCTTCTTGTGAATGATCCTTCCATTTGCCATCTGACAAGGTACTAGTGATGGGTTTTTGTCAAAGCACTATGCCTTGAACCCCTGCTTCATACACCCTGCTTTATTCCTTTTCCTCATCCTCCCCCCATCAAAAGCACAAACTGAAAAGTACCATTACCTCGGCGCAGGCAATGAGGGCTGGGGCCGGCTGAATTTTGAGTTGGACCAACTGATAGTTGATTAGAGCCACTAGCTGGCTGGGCTTGGTTCTGCCCTGTCGTTACGTGACTCCCATTTCTCACAGGTGCCGCAGTCGTTGTAGTCACTGACTCCTTGGGTTTAGGAGGGCTGGGGAAGCAAAGTCACATTAGAAGAAAAGAAGATATTCTCTAAAAACAAACAACAAAACATTAAGCAGAGATAGAATGAAAAATATAAAGTTTTTAATGGCTTATTCCAACCAGAGAGCTTTTATCAAAACAGACTAACACAAGGAAATTTTAAATAATGCATATAAAGTGTAACATTTAAAAATTCCAATGTGTATGCATTAAAGTGTGGTGTTTTGACATATCATGTTTTTGCACACAAGACTTAACTGGTTCTCTTAGACTTACTGCAGCTACTAAAAACCCTAAGGTCAAATCCCATTTCCATGATCATCTCCATTTAACAAAGAAGCACTTCTTAGTAACAGCTGATGACCTACTTATTTTAAGCTCTATTTAATATATTCAATTCAAGGGCAATTAAAGAATTTAGGAAAAACCTTAGCATCCACACTAATGTGATCTGGTTATGTAGTGTATGAAACTAGTTAGTTATAAGGTCAGAATACATTTTTATAGGTAGGATAATAACAAATGTGAATGACATTTGCAAATCTGTACAGAATACCTACAGAAATAGTCATATCGTGGAAGAACAATTAGCAAATCAATGATTTAGATTTTGTTTACACTTTTGTCAAAATTAATTGCTGCCTTGGAATATAAGAACATGAGAGTAAGTGAAAATATGTCTGCATTTACCAATTCTTCTTCAGTTAAAAAAAAATTAACAAAAATTTACTGAGCACCTCTATGTGCTAAGCCTTGTGCTTATACCACTGGTTATGTGAGGCATACATAATTAACAATCAAGATGCCTCAAACATTAATATAAAACTGAAATCAGCGTCTCCCTCTAAAAACTAATTTGAACTTCAAGAAATTTTACAAGAGGAATCCATGGCTTCACAAGGCATCAGAATTTGGTATCTGGAGAATGGATAGGAATCTGACCTCACTAGCCCACACACTGCTGGGTACCTTAAAAGAACAGCTGAGACTGACATGTGGCCTACTCTCCTACCAAGTCAGCCTCCTCTCTGTGGGATACAGAGAACAAGGGAATGATTCTGTCCGACCTGAAACTGGAGGACATTTCTTTTCACACACGTACTGCACAAGCTCAATAACAGAAAGAACACCGGACCAGGAGCAAGAAGCCCTAGATTTAAGGCAGAGCTTGACTACTTATTAGCAGCCATGTAACCCTGAGACACTATTATTGCTTCTTTGGGCTTCAGAGGGCTCATCTGAAAGCTGGAAGAAGCAACTTCTACACTATGTTCCTTACAGTGTGGTTGTGAAGATTATATAAAACAGGAGAGGCAAAAGTACTTTTTTGTGACCATAAAGTGCTAGTCAGTGACTGTTGGTAATAATATTAATATACATATTATTGATGGTTTACATGGAAAATAAATACCAAGATGTCCATTATATTAACAGCAATGGTATTAATAAGAATGGTAAATAAGGGAGATTTTCTATTGGTGTTAACAGTGATAATAATACCATGATAATGATAAAGCAACAAATAAGCATGCTGAGTACTGAGGATACAAAGACAAAAGCAAAACAGTGCCTGCCCCCAGGGAATTCACCTTCTAATGAGGGAGACAACATGGATGTAAATAAGTAATACCAGATCTATATGAAGCAGACAGAAGGTAGTTTTAGAGGGAACCAAGAAAGGTCTCTTGTCCAAAAGATGGTACTTTCACTGAATCTTTAAGGAAACCAGGAGGCAGGGGTGAAGGGGGAGCGCACTCCTGGCCTGGGAGACAGGCAGTGTAAAGGAATAGGGAGAGAGAACAATGTGTGAGGGACACACTGAATATGTGTGCTGTACTGTAGCATGTATAGGGATCTAAGGTTGTGGGGGAGGGAAGAATAAAAAAAAAAAAGACAGAACTTGGACAGGTTTTGAAGATGTGAAGAGCTTGGAATGTCAAACAGGGAAGTTTATATTTGGAAATGGAGTCACTAGGAGTATAATGAAGAGTGTGTGGGACAGAGAAACAGCCAGCCAGAGACACAAAGAGAAACAGAGACAGACAATCAGATCTCAATTTTTAACAACGTTGTGGAGGATAGATTTGAATGGGAGGAGACTTAAGGCAGGGAGACCAATCAGGAGTCTGCTGAAATAGTCTGGGAAAGAGGTGCTGAGGGTCTGCATCAGGAGGTGGTAGCTGTGTGAGTAGAGAGAGCCGAGATGTGACGATAAAAATGTAAATCTGGTGACTGACTGGATACATGGGGTGAGCAAAAGTGAAGAGTCAAGGATGACACTCAGGTAGCGAGAAGGATGATGATACACCAGACAGAGAGAGAGAACTTCAGAGGAAGGATGGATTTGGGGATGAAGATCACAAATTCTGTTATGGATAGGTTAGATTTCAGATGTCTCTGGCATATCCCCTTTGAAAGGCCCAATAAGCAATTGGTAATTCAGGATAGAAGCTCAGCAGAGAAACCAGGGTGGGCTATATAAATCTGGGAAGTCATTGACAGAGACATCACAATTAAACCCATGGCAGTGGAAGAGACCACCAAGTAAGAGAGCTCAGAAAGAGAAGAGGGCACAGCACAGACCCTTGGGCTATGGCTGCATGAAGATCCAGTGGAGGAGGCCGAGAACAAGGGGTCAAACAGGCTGCAGCAGAAACAAGACAGAGCTGTGAAGGTGGTCGACTGTGCCAAACGTGGTAGGAAGGTCAAGAGGATGAGGACTGAGAAAATGCCATTAGATAAACGCAACATTTTGGTATTTTAAACATTTTCACTGTAAACCAGCAGTAAGATGCATATTTAAATAGTAATTCCTCATATCAGTATCAGGTATACCAGGGAAAAAAAGACCAGCAGGTTTGGAGTCAGAGAACCACTACTGCACTCTGTACCTGTGTGTGTGAGACTGTGGGGCAGGCATGACCTTGCCAGGCCCACTCCTCATCTGAAAAATGAGAGGAATGGACTGGATATACTCAAGGGTCCATCCAGACTCTTACTCTATGACCCTCTGCCACGCTTGCCCCTACCTCATCTCACCAGATCCCCACAACAATCCCATGAGGGAGGCACGGTGTAGATTAACCCTACCATTTAACCTCTCAAGAAACAGACTCAGGACAGTGACAGTGACATGCCTTGCCCTGGGTAACACAAGCTAGTGATTCAGCTGACAGCAGATCTGGGTGTCCTGATTCATGGTTGGCTACTTTTCCCCTATAGCCTCTCTAAGCAATCTGGGACCTTTCTGGGCTACTAACCTTTATGCTATCAATTATCCTTGGTATTACACCAGTTATCCTAAGGGGGCATTTGTGCAGAAATCAATTCTCAGAACTGAATTTATGTAAATGAAGCATAAACCTCAACAACACTATTTTTTCTCTTAAAGCTCTTATAGCTCATTCATGATGAGCTATTAATGGGGAATGCTTAATCTGAAAAGCATCATCAACCAAAATTTTTTTTTACAAGTTTCGTTGCCAAGAATAACCGTGTTTCAAATTCCAAACATGTTTATTTTATACCAGTTAACACAACTATTAATGATGCTGTGTAATAGTGAAAGTGGCTTAGGAGGCAAGAGACCTGGTTTCTTCTTGTAGCTCTACTATTACCTAAATGGGTAACCTTGGACAGACCATTTACTTACCTTTGGGTTGAAGTTCCTGCATGGAAAATGAGGAGGCTGTACCAGATGATTTCTAAGGGTATTTTAGGTTCTAGAATCTTAAGTCCCCTCCATCTTTGACAATGTACAGTATGAAAGGCACAAGGCTCAGAGTAAGATGATCTAAGTTGAAACTTTGCCTCTGGCACTTATTACCTGTGTAGCCTTGAGTAAATCCCTTAACCTCCCCTGCCCTAATCTTTTAAAACAGGGGTGGGAGGGTGGGTGTGGAGACCAGATGGTCTTAAAGGTCCCTTGTAACTCTCAAATCCTATCCTGCTACAAGGCAGTGTTTAATACCACTTTAAAAGGCTGAGGCCATTGGGAAGCCTAGCCAGCGGGAGCCAGCCTCCTTACCTGCCGTCATCATTCCCTTGAGTGGACACTGGCTCAGGTAAGCCAGCAGAGGGGGGAAAAGCCACACCACCTCCACTGTTTTCAGCCCCACAGCTGTGGGAGGGCGGCTCTGAGCCTGGGGGAGCCAAGGTGATGCCCTCCGTGGGCGGGAGTGGCGGGTGGAAAGCGGGGGATGTGTGCTTTCTACTGAGTGTGCCACTTCGCCGACTGGCCTGGAAGTCCATAAGTTTCACACCAAAGCTACAGAAAGAAGAAAGAGTCAACACACCATGCGAGCCAACTATCAAGCTAGAAGCCCACGTTAAAATCCACTGGGGAATACAGCAACTTTTGTTGCCCAGCATGCAATGAAGCAACAACAACAGAAAAAGCACCCACTTACCCACATTGCAACACTGACATGAAGACGCCATGCCACAAAGTCTGGCTCCAAACAAAGGAGCAAGCCCAAGTCCTTGAGACTGGCATTTAGTCTTTTCTTTCAAAAGCTGAACAGAGCCACATCGATAGCAAACATCTAAGGCCTCAACTGTGCCCGAAACTCGGTAACACAGTCTGGTTAGATGCAGTCACCTCAAGATTCTCTGCATGAACTGAGGAGACCGACAGCCTAAAGAGCCCCAAAATAATTTCCATTTGCCAGCGGCAGGCAGAAATGTCCACTCTTTTTTTCCCCTGTGATATCAGCTTAGACTCTTAAAATCATGTTCCATGGATACTGGAGAAGAAAAGACTTGGGGGGAAATAACTTTCCAAGTTATCCAAAGAGCTCTCCTGTGGAAGAGGGATTAGATTTGTTCAGCATGGCCCTAGAGGGAAGAATTAAGACCAACGAGTAGAAATGAAATTGAAAGATGAAAGATTTCTGTTGCAGTAGAGGAAGAACTTCATAACAACTGGAGCCTTCTAAAAATGGAATGGGTTGCCTCAGCAGGGGGTGAGCTTTCTGTCCCTGCAGGTATTCAAAGTAAGTGAACACACACTGAGGATGCTATAGATGAGATTCCATGCTTTGTGCACAGATTTAACTACACAGACATTAATATCTCTTCCCATATCTCTGAAATTCTATGACTTTGTGAACAACAGCTGGCTTAAACCAATACTAATGTGGGCTGTATTCCTACAACGAGGTGCCAAAGTAGGAAAATCCATCTGGATCATGAATTTATATAAGATCACCTACATGTATTCAAAATATATATTACATCTTATTGTTGTCCAAGAAAAGTTTTATATTTCAGAATGTTTTAAGAATAAATTTTCTTAACATGATTTATCATTGGGGACAGAGATGAATGTGGGAAGAGATTAAAGTAAGATCTGTTTTTACACATTGAATCTGTACTGGATGAAAGGCAAAGCACTTTCTTTCACTATAAACAGACATCTTTCCCTAAGTGTAGTTAACTCAAAGAAGCTTATGACTTTTTAAAAACGAATGCTGTTTTCAGCAACATAAATACAAGTAATGTTTGTATTAAAGACAAAGTAAACAGATTTTAGGCCATCTCGTCATTCTTGGTTTACTGAAAGCCATGGCATGTTTAGTATTACAGGGGGACAGTATGGCACAGCACAGAGAGAGCCAGAACCATAAAGAGAAAGACATGGGTTTGACTGTTGCTTTAGAAACATACTGGCTGTGTGATCCTGGACAAGTCATTTGACATCTCAGTGATTTGCTGAGGCCTAAGTTATAAAGCAGATGCCAACTTACGCTGGTAAGGGAGTTCCTCGTGAAGAGTTCCCTATATTGGTGAAATCACAGGTCAGGCTCAACATTCCCTTGACACTCCCTATGCTCCCTTATAAAAGAGAGCTGTAGTTTCAAAAGTAGCACAAACTCAACCCCAAGAGTCCTAGACATGTCACCAAGCTTCAGATAAGATTACTTTGTCTAACCATGGAGAGGATGAATGAAAGAGGAGGGAGGAGAATGAGAAAGAAAATGACAACTAATCTATAAAATAGCACAATACCTAAATGCATATAATGTGAATTCTAACTTGAAAATATAAGCTATATTCTTATTATATAGAGTATTACATGGGTTAATAATGAAAACACAAATAGTAAATTTTCAAAGGGGGAAACACAAATTGTTGATAAATATTTGAAAAGGTTCTCGTCAAGAAAAACCAGAGGTACAAATTAAAACAAATTTGAGGTACCCACCCCAACCTCAACAAATTGCCAAGAATAATTAAAAGTAACAAGAGTTGTGGAACACGGGTAGATATATTATTTACTAGGATAATTCAAATTAAGAGACTCTTTTTGGAAGGCACTCTGGCAGTAGGCCATAAATGTTACTTAAAAAAAAAAACAGCCTTGGACCCATAATTCCACTGTTGCAAATACATCTTGAGAGAATTTTTAAAAAGAACTTTCTTTTCAAATGCTGCTACTGCTCCTTTATTTGTAATTGAAAAAACAAGTGTGTATGGGGGAACAGAAGCAGCCTAAATGCATGATAATACGGAAAGGGTTAAAGAACTGATCATAGTACAAGGCAATAAAGATAAGACAAGCATACAAAAAGAGAAGAAATTTGGAAATGCCTTTGTGAAATAATGTAAAAAGAAAAAAAAAAGCAGAATCCAAAGAACAGTATACACTAATTACTATCACATAAAACAGTGAATGTGAATGAATGGCCCAACAAAGAATTTTAATGGAAGATAAGATAGTGACTGAAAAATTCTAACATTTTATGAACATTCATTTAAAAAGAAATAATTGCACGAATAAATTAAATTGGTGGTATTGGTATTTCACAGCAAATCTTAAATTTTTTAAAAAATTTCAATTCTTTTTGTTAAGCAGGAAAAGAAAAATGGGAGAAGCAATATAAAAACAAAAGTTACCAATAAAATTTTATTTTATAAAAAGAAAATAGGAAGCAGGAAAGAAGAAAATAAAGACAATTTGAGATTTATATAAACTGTGTAGAGGTCAAAAGCAGTATCTTCCCAAATGAAACTGAAGAACACATAAATCATCCAAACTGCAGTTCCAAAAGTTTTTAAAATTAATTTTCAAAGAAATTATTTGCAGAGATACAGGATAACATTTTTAGCGCTCTCAGACCCTAAATTTTACTCCATAAACTTTAAAAAATTATTTTTTATTTTGCAGCTTATAAAAAGTTATCATATGGAATATATACAAGAAAAAAAGACCTGAGACCTTGGGGAGTAATTTGCCTACTCATCAGAGTATTCTTCTGAGCAAGCCAGAACAAGCACCATCCTTAGCAACCGGATAGTATGGAAGAGTCACTCTATGGAGAGAGTGGCAGGCTGTCCACCTAGCAGGGATGGCAAACATGCACCGGGAGGGAGATGGGATTAGAGCACCTCTGAGACCACTTTCAAATACTGAGACTCTATAACCCCAAACTGGGATTAGAATTTTTTAATGGTTAAAATCTGTTATGCTCAGTAGTATAAATACCATCAATTATGACCCAACAAATCTGTTGTTGATTTAAAAAGAGAGAACTTATGCTGAACCTACCCCTCCTTCTTGAGCAAGTCTCCTTCCATTACTGCCATGCTGGCCGGCCTCTTCCTTTCCAGAGTGCCTGTATCATAGTCATTCCCAGTGTGGGGTAAGTGATTTGAGTTCGAGGCTGGTCCTACAAATGCTCCCGACACATTAAAATCCACCTCTGCAAAAAGACAAATCCAGGAAGATATTAAGGTACATGGCCCCCCCATGAGGTGTCTAAAGAACCTGAGAGAAGGGTCTCTATGATCATCCAACCCCTAGCTTGGAGAACAATATGGGACAGAGCTGGTGTTTGTCCCATCCCTCCCCCCACCAGAAATCTTCACCTTCAGGAAAGAACCAGTCAGCATGCTGAATTATTGGCTCGATTACTGCAACCACATGAACAGATGTTGCTGCTGCCATGTCTGCAAGAGACCTAGAAAGGAAATGTAAGAAGCGTTAAGTGTTTCTGATGAATAATGACTACAATGCTGGCTGTATTCATCACTACAGTATCATTCCAGTAATTCAGAAAGGAGAAAAAAATTCTAGGCAGGCAAAGAAAATGTTAAATCCATGTAGCGCTGGGCCAACTACCCCCCTAAACGAGAGAGATAATGGGGAGAAACCCCTCTGAATGGGCTATTTCACATCTTTATTACTGTACACTCTATATTACACTGATCTGTGTACACAGGTGGACAGCCTGAACTCTACACTGGCATAGCTCAAGACAACATTTAATGTTACTGCCTACAAACATGGTGAAGATAGGGAGATTTGCATATCCTCTAGCATCTAGCACAAGACTTGACATAGGCTTAATATTTACTAAATGAATAAATTAAGGAATGACTATTTAAGCAACTAGAGGAAAGCCTCTAGTACATTAGGTGGATCTTCTCTGTAGGATTTACAGAAAGGAGGAGAGTGGAGGAAAGGAAAGGAGAAGCAAAGAGGCTCAGGATAGAATCTTGGGGGTTGCCCACTTTTAGAGGACAGGAAGAGGAGGATGAAGAGGCAAAAGAAACTAAGGTGAGACAGCTAGGAGGGGAAGTAAGGGAAAAGAGGATCACAAGAAACATTATGTCAAAAGCTGTAGGTGGGTAAAGCATAATGGACCCTGAGAAAAAGGCCACTGGGTTTATGAGTTCTTAAGTTTAAAAAGAGCAATTTCAGTAAAGTAGCAGGATCAGATGTCGGACTGCAAAGGGCTAAGAGAGTAGGAAGTAAGGACATAGATGCAACAAGGGAAAATGGCTTGCAGTTCCCAGTCTTCCTGGAACCTATGTCTTGAGAGACCTGAATCCTTAAGCTTCACTGAAACATGACCTGGAGTGGCTATTCTAGTGAGTGGGCAGCCTTCTGTGGTGGTAGAGGATCCAACAGCCAGTGGGGAGGTGGATGCTACTCCAATGGTTACTGTGGACAAGAGGGCAACTGATCCCAAATGACCATCTCCATCAACTTCTGGGCAGCAGTTGCTGGGTTAGACTTCGAATTTCCAGTGCGACTTTCCTCTTTTCTGAAGCAAGTGCTGGTTTGACGGGAAACAGTCACTTACCCTTCCGTTTTGGCCCAGAGCAAGTTAGGGCCCAGCACTATTGCAATGTTGCTAGGTGTCATCTTGTTAACATCACTGGTCTGTGCAAGCTTTGCTAGAAACTTGATTAGATACCTGCCAAAGGAAAAAGCATCCACCATCACACCTGCTCTTCATTACGCAGGATCAAAATAACAAAGCATGATCTGACTAGAATATTCAGATCAGTTAAGTGATAAAGATAGTTTTTGTGGTCTGTGTATCAAAAGACAGGCTAGATTTCTACTTAAAAGAGATTACTGTCTAAGTTTCTCAAATACCCACTGAAAAGAACCAGGAACCACCTAGCAGCCTGAATCTATTCTATGATCACGGCAGAAATTTTTTGTTGGTCTTGCCCCTCCCTCCTCATTAATTATAACAATGTGGCTACCAGGAACACTTGTAGAAAACAGGATCAGAGGTCACTCTAAGAGTCACAAGTGTGAGTGGTATTCAAAGAAGACCTATTTGAAGTTTTGAAACAGCATACAGATGCATGAAGGATAATTTCTTCATCACGGGAGAACTCCAGGAATAGAAGTAAATAGAGCCTAGAACCTGCCCATATCCATGCTCTTGTAGGTAAGGCCCTTTAGTACCCTTCCCCTTTATTCCTCCCAAGCTACAAAGAGGTTACATGACTGCCCAGGACTCTGGGGTAATGTCAGAGACAAGACTTGAACCCAGGGCTTCCTGACTCCAGGCCTAGCACTCACTCCATGTCAATGCTGACACTCTAGGTTTGGCACTTCAAATTATGGAAGTATTTTACAAGATCTGTCATTTCGTTTGTGTGACATCTTTCCCACCTCCCCCTACCCATGTGAACTGATGCACTCTGGGTCTCTGGGGATGTGTTTCGTAAGTCACTGCGGTCAAAAATATAACATCATTTGATAGGCAACAATTTGGTAATAAACCTCTCTGCACTTGGCTAGCTGGTCCATGGATGACAGATACATATTTGACTATCAGACTTTGTACTATACTGAAAGAATCTTCCTGAACCAGGGCCACCTTCAGTCTACAGTGAGACTTCAGAGGTGGGCTTGGGGGATGAGGCACTGACTGGGACTACTGGCAGAGTACATGAGACATAGAACAGGACAGGAAGGTAAGCATGGCCTTTGGTACACTGGTCATTCTCATTTATTGCTGGGAAAGAAAGCGAAGAAGAGGAAAGGGGAGGGGAGGGGAGGAGAGGAGAGAGAAAGAAAGAATGAAAGAAAGAGGGGAAGAGGGAAGGGGAGGCCCAAATCTCATCTGCTGAGGAAAATTTGCAAGTCCTCAGCATCAAATTTATAAGGATATGAGACACTGACAGATATTCAAAGTCCAAACCAGGGCTGTTAAATTAATTAAAAGGGAAAAATACACAACTTAACTAACTTGTAAGAAATAGTAAGATGCTGAGGATTTTAAAATGGAGTGTTTGTTTTGGTTAACAAGAAAAAATGGTTAGGAGACACACAGGGCTCATCTTTCTCTTTTACTGACATTGTCTTAAAGGAAGGGTTTCCAGTAGACTCTTTTTTTAAGTTATCTTACTTGTAGGGTCACTGAGTTTAGAGCCAAAAGGAACCTTAGAGGTCATGGAGTTCAGCCCCCTTATTTTACAAGTGAGAAAACTAAGGTCCAGAGAAGTTAAATAACTTGCCCAAGGTTGCCCAGGCAGTATGGGGTAGAACCAGGATTCAAACCCTGGCACTTGGACATCATACTGCCTCTCTTGTGACTTATTTTGAGTATTTTTGTTTAATTGAAAAACAAATAACTTTTTGGTTAAAGATGTGGGTTTAAAAGGTTTTCTGCATTCTAAATATGACTTTATTTTGTTTTAGGGAGTTTTTAAAAATCCACTTTGAAATAACTATTTTTATATAGGAAGTCAATAGGAAAACGATTCATTTTATAAACATTTGTTCTATGCCCAAATTTCAGGGAACAAACCTATTTCATAAAGCAAAATACACTTAACATCAATTAGAATTTTACTTCTCACTATGATACAAAAAAGCACCATTCTTTAATTTTAAAAATTATGGTACAATACAGTTAACAGAATAAGAATGAGTAAAGCCGATTAGAAGAGAGAGAAGAAATCCAATTTATACTTGTATGATTGCTTCTTTCAATGTGATTATTTTAACAAAAATTTTCTAACTGAACCATTACTTTTTAGGATCACTGGTCAGACTGAAGCATTTCTAATCAGGATTTATTTTTAAATTCTTGTCCTTCTCAGAGACTTTTGCAGAAGCTTAGAGGAGAGCTTTTATTCTTCCTACTAGGCTTATCGTTTGTCTACATTCATTAGTCTCTAGTCCATTACCTAGAGAAATAGACATGTGGGCCTAAGAGGGACAATGACTACCAAAGCCAGTGGGACCCCTACAAGATCCTCTACTCCATTATCTTCATGTCACAGATGAATGAACTGAGGCACAAAGAAAGAAAGGGGCCTTATCTACCTCAGATGGCAGCAGAGCCAGGCTGGGAGGCCAGGTGACCTGACTCCAAGGCCAGTGCTCTGCCTACTACACTCTCTTTCCTAGTGTGTTGATCCAAGTAACAAAGATTCCAGTTTCATAAGCAATCTTCCTTTTTCTTCTTTGTGCGTCTGAATGTTCGTGTTTGTTAACAAAATTCCATACATAGTAAAAAAAAAAATTCAAACAAAACAAAGTGTATTGACCTAAGGCTGATGGATTGTCTAATGGCTTAAAGATGTTCCTTGATAAAAATGAATGTATTAATGAAGAGTGGTGAATTAGAATAAACTAGTTCAAAGCAAATTCCAAGGCAAAGTCACTACTTTCTCAACTGGAACATCCACCCCATTCATGGGCAAATTTCACTCAATGAATGGATTAACCCACAGTTAAGCAGAAAATTCAGCTGATCAGCATTTTCAGGTCAATTCTTTTTGGCACCAAATAGCATATGAATAATAACAGTAAAAGTGAGATCCCTACTACGATGAAAGCACTGTCCCAAATAGTCTGTCCTACTAGGTTAAACGGACCAATAGGAGGGTCCTGAAATGTCTTTGTTGTGCTAACACTTTTGCTAGATGAGAATTGGATCATGGTAAAAAATTCAGCAATGATACAAACCTGAAATTGGCAAAATTTGGCTTTGGCAATTTCTGGCATATGCTCCACAAATCTTGAAGTTTTTTGTCTGGATCCTGTACACTGAAGCAAAAAAGTTCATAATTTATGAAATTTATCAAAATATACTTTGATTAAAGTGACAAGAACCAGACTCCATCTCTTGGCTCCAGGCATTCTCTCTGGCTATCCTATAGGCCTAGAACACTCTCTCTCCTCTGCTCCAACTAACGACCTCCCTGGCTCCCTTCAGTCACAGCTAAAATCCTACCTTCTATAGGAAGCCTTCCCCAACCCCTCTTAATTCTGGTGACTTCCCTCTGTTAATTACTTTCTATTCATCCTGTATATAGCTTGCCTTTTATATATTTCTTTGCAGGCTGTCTCCCCCTGAAGATAGGGACTGTTCTTTTGCTTCTCTTTTTATTCCCAGAACTTAGTATAGAGCCTGACATAAAATAGGTGCTTCATAAATGTTTACTGATTGATATTACTAATAAAGACAACTCATGTTTACAGGACCCTTGGAGGTTCATAAAGCTATTTCCTCACAATTCTTCAAGTGGTTTTCTCATTTTACAAATGAGGAAATTGAGGTTCAGAAAGATTAATAGACTTGCTCATAACTCCTAAGTGTTGGAATTTGTATTAAAACACTGATTTATTTATAAATTGTCATCAAAAAAGTAAGGAATGGTAGGATTATGTTGTGAGGATCTGAGAGGGTAATTTTTGATTGTGTTTCCCTGCTGATGACAATAAAATCTTACATTTCTACAGAACTTCACAGTTTAAAATTCACTTTCTTCACAACAACCCTGAGAGACAGTAGGTGCATTTTATAGACAAGACTATCAGGGTTCAAAGATGTGGCAGGCCTTGTCCAAGGCAACACAGCCAGCAAGTGTCAGAACCACGACTCAACCCCAAGTCTTCTGACTCGAAGTCCAGTGCTCCCCCTCCTGACCAGGAATCAATTTTTCATCACCTTACCTAGCCACTTTTGTCCATTCTTCATAAAGATGAAAAGTCATTAAAGGTTCAGGCAATTCCCGTAAATAGGACTTCAAGGCACCTGAAATGACATCAATTTCCCCTTAGTGTGTATATGTATATGTATATGTATATGTATATGTATATGTATATGTATATGCACCACACAGACACACACAGTGTCAACGCAAGACTTCCTTTTAATAAAAGCTTTTAAATGTTTTGACTACTTTGCTTCTTTTTAAAACAGAAAGAAAACATAATGAGGGTGGGATGGGGAGAAAACTCCCGAAGTTTAAACAAACCCTCTGTTCCCTTGAAAACATGCTGAGGGAGCAGTACATACTCTGCATGTTCCAGAAGCACCTCCTAAGAGAAAAGGATTTCTCCAAGCACATCTGCATGTCTGGGAAAGGAGACAGGACAACAACTACTCACACAGGCTAAAGATCCTTTCTGGTTTATAAAGAACTTTCTTTACACTACCCCGTGTGAAGGTGGGTAATCTACATATTAGGTAACACCTCCCCCTATCAGAATGCTCCTTGAGGGGAACAACTGCCTTACATTTATATTTCTAGAACCCAACACACTTCCTGCCATATGATTATCCATTAGGTGCTCAATAAATGCTGGTTTGTTGATTTATTCATCGATATATCCACCTTTCACATGAGAAAGCGGACAGTGATGTGAAATAGTCTGCCAGGGTCACGCAGCCCATCCTGAGGCCAAGGCTTGTGCCCCAGGACCTCTGATGCTGAGCATGGTGCTCTCCCCACTATCCCGCTGCCTTCCCAATGAGGAAAAACATACCATTATCAATACTACCTCAATTTTTACAAAGTGACCAGACAAGATGTGTCCACTCAAGCAAACTCTTTCCATGAATCCCAGGAAATCTGACCAGGAGGAAATTTCAGTTTTACATTAAACTTAAATAGAGTGTATCTGTTCACCAGTTCTGAAGCATCGTCTAAGACTGTGTCACTCATCTGCCATCATTTAGCCCGAGGTTCTTAACCCAGAGTCTGTAATTTTAAAAAAACTACTCTGATAACTGAATTTCAATATAATTGGTTTCCTTTGTAATACTAAGTATTTTACTTTATGCTTTTAAAAACAGGATCCTCAGGAGTGGTCCAGAGGCTTTACCAGACTGCCAAAGGGTTCCATGATGTAACGAAAGCTAAGAACCTCTAACACTGGTGAGATGGTGATTGGTTCCATACATATTCAGAGTTTACCTGCGACAGCATGTGGGTCTGAATAAAACTCATCCAGCTGAGATGTAGAGCAGTCTAAAGCAGCTTTTAGCTTCTTTAACTTGGATGCTCCAGCCCCAATTCTGAAAAGACCCTATATAAGGCAACAATTATAGAAGCATAAGGAGTTACACTGAAAGAACCTGAGAACATGCAAAGTCAGACCTGGAAGGGACTTTAGAACATGGAATGTCAGAACTGGAAGGGGCCTTAGAAGATAAGACATCAGAGCAGAAAGGAAACCGAGAACGTAAGACCTTAGAAAGGAAAGAACTCTAGAAATACAGGACTTCAGAACTGGAAGGGCTTTTAGAAACCACTTCCTTCAATTTATAAATGAGAAAACTGAGGGCCTAAAAGGAGAAAGAACTTTACAAGGTCATATACCTAAAAGGACACATTTAAAACCAAAGAATGTTAAGGACAAAGGATGTACTCAATCTTTGTCTTTGAAGTTAAAGGAAAAAGAGATAGAGAATCAAAGGGGAAGCGGACACAGCGGAGGGGCAGGAGTACTCTGGGCAGTGTGGGAAGACGTCACATACCTCCTCCTTCATGCCAGTTTCTAAGAGTAGCATCACACAGGCTTCAATGGGCAATGCAATATCCCGCCCACTCCGTTTCAAGTGCTCTTCTAACGGCGTTCCGAAGGCAGGCTTTTCTGCCCATTTATCTACAGCAGCACAATATTGAGAAAGGCAATCAATAATTTATTTTGTCACAAATCCATGCACTTCCCCTATCACCAGAGATGAACTTCAGGAAATTAGTAGGATGTGCTTGGGGAAAAAAAGAAAAACATGTTCTAGCTGAGAGCTTACTAATCTTTGTAAGGCCACTTAAATGCCACTTCATTCATTAAGCTTTCCCTCACTCCACTCTACCCAACCCCTCTCCCCAGACTATATTCTGTGGCCTTTCCCCCCTCAAAAGAGAACTTTGTACTTTTAAAATGCAATAATGCTTTATTTTCTATTATTATCACTTGTGTCTGTGCTTATCTTCCTGACAAGACTTCTCTCACTGGCATTATAATGTCCCTGTTCTGTCAGTCAGAACTGCCCTCTGGTCTCATTATGCACGAGCTAGGGCCAAGCAGGAAGCTGGAGCTAGCTTGCTTAGCATGGTGAAAATACAAAGAAAATAAACATTCACTACGTACCTACTGCATACAAGGAACTATCTAGGTCATGGGGGAAAGACAAAGTTTAAATGGCCATGGTTCCCTCCCCTCAGAACTTACAGTCTGGAGAGGAACATGAAAGACAGGCTGTTAAGTAACACCAGAAAGTTACAACACAAATTGCTATTTGAGACTGGAGTGAGGAGGCGGGATCAGGATAGGCTTCACAGAGGTGGTAGCATTTGAGTTAGACTTTACAGGACAGGCAAAGAGGGTGACAAAAGACATTCTAGGAACAAAGAACAGACCGAACAGAGGCACAAAGATGTAAGAAGGGAATGCAAATGTGAGGACGGATTTGGATGGAACAGTCTGGTTTAGCTGGAGCAGTAACGTGTGGAAGGAGATGAAGCTAGAAGGGAGGAGGGTGGGATCCAATTTTAGAGGACCTCAAACACCACACAGAGGAGTTCAGACCTGACTCAGTAAGATAGAGAGCTACTAAAAACTCTTGAGCAGAGATATGACATACTTAGAAAAATGAGCCCTGCAGCATTTGAATGATGGATCAGAGGAGAACGAACGTAGAGGCAGGAAGACCTTAAAGAAGCTATTCCGGCCGTCCAAGGAGGCAGCAATAAGGGTGGATAGGCTGGATGCCAGAGATGTCATGGAGGTGGAATCAATGGGCCTCAGTAACTGAATGGATGTGAGTAGAGAGGGAGAAGAAAGGATCAAAAGAAGACTCTCAGGTTATGAGCATTCCTTCACCCCCTGAACTGGTGGGTGTGCCACAGACAGAAACGCTAGCTTAGGAGACAAGGAAAATGAGCTCTGCTTGACATACATGTTGTCCTCCTGGATAGTAAGCTCCTTGGGGTCAGGACTGTCTGTGTCTGTACCCTCAGCATCTAGAAGAGTCCTGACACACAGCAGGTACTCAATAAATGTTTGCTGATTAACTGGTAGGACATCCAGATGAAGAAGTTCTAGAGAAAGTTGAGGACACAGATCTATAACACAGGAGAGGTCAAGTCTGACTAGACAGACTTCATGGCAGGGATGGGGTAGGAGAGTGCTCATCTGCATAGATGCACTCTTCAAATTATAGGGTGAAGGAGACTGCCGGGGAAGAAAGGAGAGACAAGAGAAGAGGCCAAGGACAGACCCATAGCCACAGAAATGTGAGAAAAATCTGAGAAAGACTGGAATCAAGATCAACAAACCAGGAGTCCAGTCCTGGCTCTATCCTTAACTCACTGTAACTGGGAGCACAATTTTGTTCACTGTAAAATCAGAGTTTGGGGGCAGCTAGGTGGCACAGTGGATAGAGCACTGGCTCTGGATTCAGGAGGACCTGAGTTCAAATCTAGCCTCAGACACATAACACTTAACTAGCTGTGTGACCCTGGGCAAGTCACTTAACCCCACTGCCTAACCAAAAAAAAAAAATATCAGAGTTTGGACTAGGTGATGTCTAAGGTCATTTCCAGATCTGACATTCTAAATCTTATGTTTTGCATTGACAAACATTCGCATTTTTATCTCTAAGAAAAAACTGAGCACTAGCTTTCCAGTTAGAGGAAAGATAGTCTCAATAGGGGTTCTTTTGTGAGCAAGTAAATAAGTTCATAAAAGTGAAAGAAGCACGAATCTTGGTTTTATCGCTGAGTCTCACTTAAGTTGCTCATAGACTGACTGACCTAAAAGGAATCATAAAACACATCATGTACGATGTCAGAAATAACAAAGTCTTTTTAATACGCTCTTCAAGAGACTGATAGACAGCCAGTGGTTGAGGATGCTGCAGTTAAAGATTCTGGGTCAAGTATGGATTAGACTAGGTGGCCTCTAAAGAATTTTCCGACTTTGAGATTCAGTAACAGAACAGATTTTTGCTCAAGTAAAGAGTGTGTTAGATGGATTCTAAAGGTGCTCCCATGTCTGCACTTTTCTGACTCTCTCTAACCCACAGCTCAACCCCTTCTTTTCTAAGGGAAGCAAATGAGGTCTATCCAGATGACTCACATTTTCTAAGTTTGTAAAAACTTTGCGCACTTGATCTTTCAAAAGTGATGTACGATGTCTATTTTAGATTACCCTTATTAATCCTGGTACAGAAAATAATTCCCTAACAGAAATATAGCACTGAAGGCTTGAGTTTTACTACACAATGAAATAGGTGGGGCTTGAGCTTCCCTTGATCCTCCCCTCAAGCTGTCATCCTCTCTCTCTTCTCTTTCACAGCCAGACTCTTAGAGTTATCTATTACCTCCTCTTCTTTACCTTCCATTCCTCACTCCCTTGTAATCTGGCTTCCAGTTCCTTTACTTGACTCTCCAAGCATATCAGTGACTTCTTACCTGCTAATCCAAAGACCTCTTTCAATCCTCAGACTACTCCAGCTCTCTGCAACATCTGACACTGCCATTCACCCAGTCCTTTCCTGGACACGCTCTCTATTCCCTGGTGAGACTACTCTCCTCTCTGGCTGGCCTTGGCCTTCCCTTTGATTGGTTCTTTTCGGCCTCCTCCCTAGACCATATTCTTCTGCAAATTAAGGATGGGCAGCCTTCAAGGCTCTGTGCTGGGCTCCCTTCTTCTACTCTCTCCCTGCTTCCTGAGCTGTTTTAGGTCCATCATCAATCATTAGTTCAGTTTTAGTTCTCTCTCTCAGTTTAATCATCATTCCTCAGCAGATGATTTCTAAAACTTTCCCCTTTTTTTGTCTCCACATTTCCAGCATTGAGACTAGCACCATGCACATAGTAGACAAGCTTACAAGCTTGTAGAAGAAAGAACTATGTGGCACAAGAACTAGTTGTTGAAGGGTCCTGTCAGAAATACTTTATTCTTTAAAAAAAAAAAATAGGCATGAAGCATTCACATCCTTAGCTATGCTCCTACAATTTGGATTGTGGTCACCTGAGTAATAAAAAAAAACCCAGCCGTTAGCCACAAGCTATCACTAACTCTCTCCTATACATAGACGGCCAAGTGTCCCAGCAATCCTCAGAAGAACTGAATGTATGTGAATAAAGAATACTATTGGGGCAGCTAGGTGGTGCAGTAGATACAGCACCAGCCCTAGATTCAAGAGGACGTGAGTTCAAATCCAGCCTCAGACACATAACAATTACTAGCTGCGTGACCCTGAGCAAGTCACTTAACCCCATTGCCTAGCCAAAAAAAAAAATTTAAAAAAAAATCACATCTCACCAATGTCCAAAGTCCCAACTAAATACAAAAGATTAAATGTTAACCACAGAAAGATGGAAAAACAATTGGGAAGAAGCATGGGGAAAATGGATAGGAAAGAAAAATAAGAGTGTAGGAAGGTACAGGGGATAGATATTCTATGAAGCCCCTACCCTAACAATGCTTGAAGAAAAAAAGGTCACTGAAGGCTTCAATGGTCAGGGAAGGTTTCACAGAGGAGGTGGAACTTGAGTTGGGTCATGAAGGATAGGTAAGAATTACGGCAACCAGGTGGTACAGTGGATAGAGCACCACACCTGGAGTCAAGAAGACCTGAATTCAAATCCAGCCCCACACACTTTCTAGCTGTGTGATCCAAGGCAAATCACTTCACCTTGTGTGCCTGAATTTCTCCGCTGTAAAATAATCTGGAGAAGGAAATGGCAAACTACTTTAGTATCTCTGGCAAAAAAAAAAACCCAAATGGGGCAGCTAGGTAGCACAGTGGATAGAGCATTGGCCCTGGGGTCAGGAAGACCTGAGTTCAAATCTGGCCTCAGACACATAACACTCACTAGCTATGTGACTCTGGGCAAGTCACTTAACCCCAACTGTCTCACCCAAAACAAAAAAAACCCAAATGGGATCACAAAGAGTCAGACTCAACTGAAGTGACTGGATAACAGCAAGAATCAGGATGGGAGGTGGGGTAGGAACTGTGTGATACAGGAAGGCAAAAAAAAGCAGACCATTTAATTTGTCATCAGGAGACTGATAAATAGAAGCCACAGAGTGAAAAAACTTGAATGCTAGGCAAAAGATCTGATCCTGAAACACTCAGTGGCAGGTAATCTGGATTCACTGTAGGGCAGTAGTGGGGGAAACTGAGGAAGAAAGACGTCATATGAGGCATTCTGTAGGAAAGCCATCACAGCTTGGTGTTTGACAGGCTATGGAAGATGAGTAAAATGACCCCAAAGTTTTAAGCCTGGGAGACATAGTGGGATCAGGAAATGATCAATTCTTTCTATGTACTGAATTTGTGGCGACAACTAGAAATCCAGTTGGAACATAGGACTAAAAACTGGAAGAGACGACAGAATTGTTGAAGTCATGGTTGTGGATGAGAGTTCCATTTCATGAGAGGGCAGATGCATATGTCACTGAATTAACCATGATTTTATTAAGTGCCTTTTGTCTGCCAGGCACTGGTCTAGGCACCTGAGACACAAAGACAAAAAAAGTTAAGTTCCTGCCTTAAGGAAGATTGTATTCTACAGAGAGAATAGAGAGTTAAGGACTCAACTTTAGCAAATGCCTGCTTTTGAACAGCAAGACTAGAAATGGAGTCAGGGAATGACAATAGTCAGAGAGTAGGGGGAGAAGTAGGAAAGCAATCTATCACCACAGTCCCAGGAAGAAAGACCTTCTGAGAAAAGGGTTTTCAAACCTCTGTCAATTCCTACAGAGAGGTCAAGAAGAATTGGGTTACTGGCAACCTCCAAGAAAGTAATTTTAGTAGAGTGGTAGGAAAAATAAACCCGCTGTAGTGCACTGGTCTGGTATGTGAGTAAGGCTGGTGACCAAAGGAGGATTTCTGACAGAAACTATTCCTTTCGAAAGCCTAGCAATGAAAGGAAGGAGAGATAATAGTGGAATCATTTTAGAGGGCAGCAAAGTCAACTGAAGGTTTTTTTTTCAGAATAAGAAAAACCCAAGTATGGGTGGGGGCAGAGGGTAAGGAGCCAGGAGATGTGTCAGAGAAAGAGGTGGTGACCGAGGGAATGAACACATCACTCCTGTGAAGCAGTGAAATGGCTGAGCTAGGTTTAACTTGAGGAAGAGGTAGGAGCCCTACTTACTTACTACCTGTGTGACTTTAGGCAAATTCCCTAACTTCTTCAGGTTTATGATTTCTCATCTGTAAAATGAAAGTTATACTACGCATGTCATTCTTTATACTTGGATCCTTCCCGCACCTAGCAAAGGGCCTGGCATAGACTAAGCACTTGGTAAATTCTCACTGATTGATGATCTTTAATTAGGTGATCTTCTGAAAAACATCTCCTGAGGGATACCACAAAAAGGGGGTTGCAGAGACCAGATATGGCCAAGCACAGGATTTCCCAAATGCTTGTGAAGGACTCTCACTATCACCTCTGAACATACTCATGAAATACCCATCTCCTTTCTCCACCACACCCAGGACATCTACCCTACAACAATCCCCTAAGTGGCCACATGTGCTTCCTGCTAAGGCCTGTGGAAGGCACTGCAACTAGCCTTTTCTGTGATAGATCCCTAAACTTATCTTTCTGATTGAATATTTTGAACAAATTAAATTCATGAGCAGCAAAGGTCACTGGTTTGAAACTCTCTTATTCCATGTCTCACTGACAGGCAGAATGGTACAGACATTCTTGGGGTTAAGGTCAGGATCTGAGCATTAGTTCCTGACACCTGTGGCCACGTGACCTTGGGTAAATCACAATCTCAAGCCTATTTCCTCATCTAGAAAATACAGATAATGGTATTTGCACTGGGTTGTAGAGAGGAAAAACACTTTGTAAACAAACCCTCAAGATCTATATAAATGTCAGCTATTACTGGCTCTGCGTTTTCTCCCAATGATTTACTGATCACGCCCAACATTCTTCACTGGCCATAATCTGCATGCACATGTCATCACTGCCTACAATTTGCCTGAACCAATTCCTGTAAAGCACTCTTAGTCTGCACTTTTCTAAGCTCAGTTTGCTATGTTCGTCTCTTGCTTTACCAACTTTACATACATTAATTCACCACATACCAATTTGATGTATATTTCTTAGTACCACCATCACAAGAAACTTGGAAAGTTAGGTCATTTAAGAACTGAGCATGAGAATCTTAGAAATCTGCCAAATCTATGGTAGAGAGGATGAGTGAGACACATGTGCCCTGGGTCTGTGCAGAGCTCACACTCTGGTCAGCCAAGAACTCCAAACTGCTCAATCTGGAAGTTTACTATTGGCTTCCATTTCTATAAACAAAAAGCTTCAGCACAAGCCAGGAGTCCATCATAACTTTACAGAATTTAATAGACAACTTCCCAAGTTTAGAGCTCAGATCTAGCTTAGCTCTCCTGGTCTAGCCAAGGATGAAGGATGAGTAAAGCAATATCCTAATTCCGAGCAGCAATTTCAATGGCACATATCCATTCACATCTGCTGTCTCTCTCTCTCAGTCTGCCTGTCTTTGCCTATCTCTCTCCCTCTCTCTGTCTCTAACACGCGCGCACGAACACACACACACACACACACACACACACACACACACACACACCCCCCTCACAGAAGTGATCATCGGGGTAATTTCTACAGTCCTCATAACTTGGGGGTATGATCTTCAGTTGTCCAAGATCAGAAAGCAAATATGTGATGTTCTTGGTGAAGAACTTCTACATACAGGTAGAAACAGAATACAGAAGAAATGGATCTGACCTGGTCTTCAGCAGGCAGTGGAGCCTTTACCGGCTGTGCCAGCGTACAACAATTTTTAGAATGCTCAAAAACATTCTAGGGTAACTTTTTGGGAAATGATCATTTGGAAGTTTCAGTTCTAGGGTTAAATACCGCAGCAACTCAACCATTAGATTCTGGAGAAGATTGTACACCTTCACCTACCTCAAGGAGGTGACAGAATAGCATGGTGCTACTCCAAAAACAAAAACAAAAACTTCTGTTGTTTTGTTTGTAGGTTTCAGAAAGACACGTGTTTTGTTAGTACGGCAAATCTACTTTTGGAAGGAATTAGAATACGCAGCAGCAAGAGATGAAGGTATGCTGGGGAAGAGCATTTTCCAGGACAAAAGGGGGCATTATTTTTGGGGTTCGCATGCAGAGGAGGCAAGGTGAAGAAGAAGACTGCAGAGGGGGCAAAGGCAGAGAGAAGACTCAGGCAAGAACACAAGTTACATTACCTTGATGGGCCTGGATTTCAGGGAGGGCCTTTTCTAAGACAGCTAAGGCTTTTCTATGGTAATCTGCTTGGGCTTCTAATAACTGGGAACAGAACCCACATTCAAAAACAAAGGCAATGTTAGCGTTGATGAACACACCACAACATGGTTGAGCAAAAGAAATGCGATCTTTGTTTTCAATGGACAAAACGTGGTACAGGTATTCAAACAAAACAAAGACAGTTCATTTCGATAAAACTGAACATTTCACAGGAGAATAAATGACCTACCGTAACAAAGTATCTGGCATACTCCCCTTCTTTAGCCACAAAGTTATACATGTCTGCAGCAAGTTGATCCTGGATTAAGTAAAAGGGTAGAAGAAAGAATCTGTGATAAAGGTTACAAAAATAATAACACCCTTTGTGCCCAATACCTTAATTGCTGACAATACATCCTGAAAATGTTACTGAGAACAAAAAAAGGGAGCTATTATGTTCAAGGATTTTCATTACAGCAATATATGTGAAGGCAAAAGGCTGGAAGCAACCTAAATGTACAACAAGAGGGCAACTGTTAATAAACTATGGAATGTCAATGCAACAGAATATTACAACGCAGTTGCAACTGAAAAATACCAAGAATATAAAGAAATCTGGAAAGATCTTTATAAAATAATGTCAAAAAAAAGTCCTAGAAGAATGGAGCACCATCTAACAGTGAGCATATGAGGAAATGTAAATGAGAATAAATAGACAATCTTAACGGGCGTAGCAAAAGTGACTAACGTGGTGTTATGATACTTTTTGCACTGAAATCAATTTAAATGTAAATATTTATCAGGAAAATGTAGAACCTTGTACTAATATTCCATGTTAAATTCCTAAAGACTGCTGTTGTTATTAAGCTAACATACCTTGCATTGTTCCACTTTATTCCCAGCCTCATCCATCTCTTCTTTTAAAGAGTCTATCTTTGATGGAAGCCCCTGAAAGTTAGTTCCTGAAGACTTGTGTGCCTGGTTCCACCTGAAAATCAAAGAAGACTGGATCAAGGTTGGCTTTGTAAATCCAAGCTTATAAAAACTCCCCTACTGGGACACATGCTACACCCTGAAAAGTCTTTTCTCCTTGAGTACAAAAGTCAGAATGTCTCTGACAAAAGGCTGGGGAATGGGGTAAATAAACACCACCAAGGATAGCCAACTTTGAGGTCAAATTTGTTTTCTCCTAGTAGGATATTTTCTTCATAAATAACCCCTTAAAAACAACTCCTTTCTCTTACCTACAGGCATTACTGAAAGACTGCCTAATTCCTGCCCATGAGCAACTAAGTGTGCTGTTTGATCTCACTCCACTTTCTAGCTCCAAAACCCTACCACAATTAGCCTCTCATCTACGAATCCATGCTCCCTATAACATACAGTTTAGGAATCCTGATCACACTAGAACCTCAAGTTCCTGGCTTTTGGACACCTTTCTGGGAAAAGGATACATCACTGGCGTATCAGCTCTTTAAACACTCACCTACTTTCCGTATATGAGCATTCTGCCACCCATAACAACAAAAGTACAAAAGTTCCACCAAAGCATTTCCTTGTTGGATAACACTTGAAATACTGTGTTTGCTGCTGAGTACCACATTTTAGGAAGGCCACTGACAATGTGTCCAGATAAAGGTGACCAATGGGATGTGAAATTATGTCACATATGGGATGGCTAAAAGAACTATGGATATTTAACTTAGGGAAGAAAAACTTAAGAGGAAGCATAAGAGAAATCTTCAGATCCTTAAAGGATGGTCAGGTGGAAGGGACTTGGTCTGTTTGACTCTAGAAAACAAAGCAATGGGGGCAGCAGCTAGGTGGTACAGTGGATACAGCATCAGCTCTGGAGTCAAGAGGACCTGAGTTCAAGTCTGGCCTCAGATATTTGACACTTACTTAAATGCCCTTGGGCAAGTTATTTCACCCCATTGCCTTGTTCCACCCCCCCCCCCCAAACAGAGCAATGGTTGGAAAGGGAGGTAGATTTGGGTTCAATAAGAAGGAAAAACTTAACTAGAGCTGTTTAAAAGTAGAATGGGATGCTTTGAAAAAGTAGTCTCCATCATGGAAAATCATCAGATGGAAACAATCCCCTTTTTTCCTCATCTAGCCTTTTTTGACATCATGAACGCCTCGTTTATAAGTAAAACATGAGTTTTGGGACATAGCACTGCTGCTAAAAGTGATCTGGGTAGCTAAAGCTGCTAGAAACTTGAGGGAATAGTATATTGGCAACCTTCTGTGTTTACCTAGCTCTGACAGAATCCCAGTCTAATACCAATTTAGAAAGTTGTTTCCTTTGTTTCTGAATGTTTGGGATATCCACCTGGAATAAAGACAAAATGAAATGTTATCAATTTCAGGTTAAGAAAAAACTGAATAGAAAAACACATTTTAAACTTCTAATAAAGTCCTCTACTGCCTCACTGTGGAGCAGAGGAGGGCCCTAGATTCTTGAAGGCTGTACCAGTGGAGCAAAGGTTCCAACAGTCCCTATCCAGCAGGAAAGTCTTCAAGTATAGGTCTGGCAATGGGATGTGTGTCTCTCCTCCAAAGACTAGCCTTGGGAAAACCACATATCAATATGAAGTCTGCCTGTCTGATGATAAATTCCTCATCTACTAAAGTATGAAAGGATTTTAAAATGGGTAGGTAGAGCAAATATCCATACTGGTGAAATTTCAGCTAGCTAAGCATTAAGTAATACAAGCCAATTTGAAAGGGTGGGTGTATGTGTAATATCTATCTATATGCAGAGATATAGACATACAGACATACACACATACATAATAACAAAATAAACTTGTTCACCCACTTTCATTCATGCTGAAGTCCATTAGCCTTTCCCCCTCTCAAAAAAATAAAACTTGCTTCATCAATAAACTTTATTTCTTTGTTACCATAATACAAAATAACTTACCTCTGCGATATTAGTCAGTGGTTCCATGATCTCTTTTTCAACAAAAACTTCATGTTGAGAAAGTTCTTGAGCCAAGAGATTCTGTGCCTCTCCACAAGATTCCAGCATTTTCCTTTAAAAGCAAAACCCTCAAATAAACAAAAGCCATTAAGAAACTAAGTGCTACTAATAAATTACACAGTGAATATCACTGTTAACAACAGGCTCTGTATAAATGAAATACAAAGACTGCAATGTAAATGAAAAGAACAAAAATAGTTTGACCAAATCTGTTTCCAAACAACAGAAAATATACCTTTTTTTCTCTTCAGAAGTGGGTGACTATGGGTATGGAACACTACATATACTATCAGATTAAGCTGATGTATTGGTTAATTTTGTGAAACTGCTCCCTGTCCCCTCTTTCTGTTTTATTCTTTGTTACAAAGGACTACCTGCTGGGCAGGAAGGGGAGGGAGATATTGCAAAAACAAAACCAACCAAATTTTTTAAAAGATTTTCAGAATTCTATCCTCTGTAAAACCCTGCTCCAAAATTTCATTATGGTGCAGAGGGGCATGGTGCTGAGTTCTTGAAAGCTACGTCAGCATGGCACGAGCTCATATATTCTTTGACTCTGGTTACCCATGAAATAGATAAAAATGCAATGGCCTTCAGTGGCCAAGGTTTCAGATTGCTCTCTTTTTCTTCTGCTGCAAAAGCTGAAGAACTGAACCCATATGAATATTCTGGCTAGATATAAAACCAAGACACATGAGGAGTTGCAGTTAAGAGGAAGGATGGCTCACTGCTTCCCTTCAGAGAAACGAAGAGTCTAACAGAACCTGTTTCATGGTGTGCCTAAGAGCAACAAAAAACTCTACCTTCACAGGATCTTTGTTCAGCTTGCCTTACAGCACTCAGGATATATACTGGCTAAGAGAACACTTGGAACTCAGCTGCAGATTGACACATCAACATTTATCAAATAGGATGAAGGAGACCGCATAGGTTCATAGGGGTGAAACTGAAAGAAACTTTCAAAGGTCATCCAGTCCAAACCCCTCATTTCACATCTCAGGGAAATGAAGACTAGAAGGGGATATCACTTGTCCAAGGTCATACAGATCATATGCCAGAGCTGGGATTTAACCACAGGTCTTCTGACTCCAAATTCACTTTGCATTCTCTTATAAACATGCTGCCTCTCAATTGTATGAAGAACTTAACAAGATCTTCTAAATCCAGGGTTCAACATGTACCATGATATGCAGTGACTTCCATGAAAATGTGGGCACACAGAAAATACCAAAAATAAACAAATAAATAAAAAAACCTGGAAAGTATGGTTCAGGATCAAGAAATGAGATCAGAGACTTACAGAGAATCAAAAGCTGTACTTTACACACACGCGCACACACACAATTTCTTTGAGAAGATAGCTGGAAGATCAGACATGGTAAATGCTAAATATTTTAAATGGTATTTATATCTTAATATATGGGAAGTAATGTGTTATATAATGATATCTGCATCAGATTGTTGGTACGCTTCGAGCAAAGGTCTAAATTAACATCAAATTAAAAGAAAGAAGATAAGACATCGAATGCAATTATAACAGCTCAAACCTAACCAAAATAAGCTGCTGACCCTGAAAATGGACAAAAGTAGATTCTGACTCATTCCTAACATTTCTTAGAGAAGCTTAACTTAAAGTAAAACAAGCCCCCAATGAGGAAGTTAAAAAAATAAACCCAAACCACCTCAGCCAGTAAACATAATCTCCTTGTTAAACAAAAAAAATACAGGGGTCAAGAGCAACACCAAATTAGGTACAAGCTCATCAGCAAAACATTACAAAGGATGATGACAGAAAATTATACGTAATACCATTTCTCAAAAAAATGAAAAGCAGTGGGAGTGAGAAAGAACTTGCAGATGACTTGGTGTGAGACCCAACTAATAAACTAGGTCATCCCAAAAGTATTGATAAATGAAACTGGAAAGAACAACAAAGAGAAGTGAAACTGAACAGAATGACCACATTCTCTAGAATGAACAATTCTCATGACAGACAGCAGTGAAACTGCCACATTTGGACTGGTGCAATCGCTTTAATATATATAAGGAAGCAGAAATCATACAAGAAAATGAGGCTGAGAAAAACAGTTGGACCTTCACTTCCTCTTGGGTAGCTACAGTTATTGAATATTTCATACAGGTGGTTTTGCTTTTTTTTTTGTTTTGGTGACATTTTTCCTTGTGACAATGAATGGTTCTTGTGAGGAAACAGGAGATACTGTGCTGAAGGCAACAAAATGTTAAAGGCAAGAATCTACGTTCAAGATACTTCAAAGAGGTTACTCTAAAAAAATAAAAAAAAATCATGGACAGTATTAAAACAACGACCAAAAAAGACATTACAGAAATCAATAATTACCAACCTATATGCCAACTTTTTAAACTCTACAAAAATATTTATGGTAATGACATATGTATATATTGAGGCTATATTTGACGAAAATATAATGAGGCTGGCTTTTGCAATCTACTTTCTTTAGTAGCTCATATCTTCACAGTTATACAACTGACTAAGAGGTGTAGAGAATAAAGACCTATATATTTATTGCTTTGGCCTTTTTGTCATCCCTAGTGTTTAGTTACAGTGCCTGGTAAATACTAGCTTGATTTACAATGCAAAAACCTGCATATACATATATGTGTATATAAATAAATATATACATACACACAGCAAAATGACACCTTAAAGATTCTCCTTCAGCAAGGTGTCTGCCATGCATCTGATGATCAAACAAGATTTCATGAGAGAAGCAAGGGAGTAACTTTTTTCAATGACTGGGAAAACAAACATTTGCCAAAGGTGTTCACCACTGTCATGGGCATGCCTTTGGAAAAGTGACTCTCTCTACATAGTGAGGCTCTCCAGATTATCACTTGTGGTCAATACTGGGCTAACTGCATCAAAACTTTCAAACGTCACACAGTCTCCTTGCTGAGTAGCTTTGAAAATGCAGATGTATATTGTTTGTCCAGGAAGCAAATGGTATAAAGAAGTATAATCCCACTCAGACTGAGAATGATGAGGAAGCTACTGCAGAAGAAATAGCTGATGAACAGAGGCAGCTAGGAAATACCCCTATAGGAGAGTAAACTTACTAGCTGTGGGACCCTGGGCAAGTCATCTAACCCCAACTGCCTAAAAATAAAATAAAATTATATTTAAAAATAAAAGAGTAAAAACAGGAATGAGAAAGGAAAAATAAATTGGTATTATATATGCCAGGCACTGTGCTTAAGTTCCGGGAATAAAAAAAAAAAGACTGCTCTTAAGGAGTTTATAGTCTAATGGGGAAGATAACATGTATATAACTATGTATAAACAGGATAAATTGGAGATAATCAACAGAGAGAAGGCACTAGGCATTAAGACAACTGGGAAAAGCTTGTTAGAGAAGATGGGACTTTGGCTGAGACTCAAAGGAATCCAGGGAAATTAGGAGGTGGTGATGAGCAGAGAGAGTTCCAGGCATGGAGGACAGCCAATGAAAACGGCCAGAGTCAAGAGATGGAGCATCTTGTGCAAGGGACATCAAAGAAGTTTCAGGAAAAATGGACTGAGGATGATAGGGAAAACAGACATATTGGCCATGAGGTAACTGAAGGAAGTACAGACTTCTCAATGAGACCTTTATTACAGGCTGAAGATATTGGACAGAGTTTCCAAAGTTCAAAGACATGGACATCAGTCAAGCTGGTGATACAGGGGGTCTTAAGAGTGACATGATCTCAACGAGACAATCCAAGGAAGCTGAACTTAGAAACCAAATACGAAGAACTTTAAGGGCAAATGGATGACAAGTGGCACATGAGGACAGGTGAGCATTGTAAAAACTGAGCTCAAATCACGTTCTTGTAGCAGGGGTATAACTCGGCATTTTAAACCTGAACTAAACTGATGGATGATGCAAAACCATGCTGATGATATCCCTCTATTGCATGCATGCAGATAAAGGGATGAAAACATTCCGGCTGGAGGAACGTAGCCCTCTTCTGCTGCCTGATGATTCTTAACCTTTCAGGATAGCAAGAGCCTGTCACTGAGTCTTTCTTTTACCCCTCCCAACTTCTACCTCTATCCTACAGGAAAAAGTTTAGGCAGCAGATATCTGTTTTTCAGATGCAGTGGATTAAAAGTCATTTTGTTTTGAGAATGCTCCAACACTCCCTGATCTAGTTAAATAGAGGCCCACTACAAAGGTGTTATGAAACCACAGCACTGAAAACTTCTTTTCAAGGTAACAAATCTCCAGCACATTTCAAACCACCAGTTGAGTATAACACCCACCAAAATCAAGCCAACGAGCAGGGCAGTTAGAGCAGTCAAGAGCAGGGCAGAGGAGGGAAGAGTTTGGCAGGAAGCTCCCTTTGAAGAAGAGGCCTCAACAGCAATATACATTGTTAGAAATGATGGTTTTAATGTTTTGCCAACTGTGGACATAAGATCACTTACATTTGTTAAAACTGTTCCCCCTTCAATATACCCCCAGTGGAGGTAAAGGAACCCCTCATGTGCTCTGGGCAGCTTTCCCTCATAGTTCAGCAGGAATTACAGCTCACATTTATGATTTTTTCTTACAACAATACCCCTTGTGAGGTAAACATCGTAACTCTCCTTTTACAGATAAAGTGAAGCTCAGAGAGGTTAAGTGACTTGCACACAGTGACACAGCACTCCAGGCTCGCGATCTTTCCAAGAGTGCTCTCAGGTGAGCCATTGTCCTGGGCTGGCTGCCCTTCCTGCCAGCTTTCTCTACTATGACCCTATCCCACAGCATGAAGCCACCTCCTCTTGTCCCTGCTGCTCAACTCATTCCCCAGACTAGAGAATCATACCTTTTGTCTTACAACAGCCACATAATCATGCCAACACGCTCTTCTATTTGCACAGACAGTTGCAGTTCACGTTCAGCTCTGTTTCCTTTATGGAACCACATTTTTTAGAATCATATTAGTGCTTACCCCAAAAGAGACTCTTCAAGCTGGGTAGATGCTTCCTGCATATTCTGAGCAAGGGCAGTCAAAGGGAGTTTTTTCTGTAAAGCAGAAGGCATATTTTTGCTTCATTATTATTCAGCACCAGTTTGGTTTTGGGTTTTTTTTTTTAATTAACTGATGTTTTGTTTTTTACATCACTTTCACTTCCAAATATTATGCTCCCTCACTTCCCCACACAGAGAGACAAAGAATGAAAAAAAAAGAATTTCAGTAAAACTAATCAATACAGCAAGTCAACATTATATGCAGAGTTCCACATCCACGATCTGCCAACCACGTAAAGAGAGGTTCAGAAAGCATTTTCACTAAGCTGTAGCTGATCTTTTCTCTACTCTTCATATACTCTCATACTTAAAGAGATTCCACATCAAAGAATTTTAGGGCTAAGTGAAACCTCAGCACTTAGAAAACTGGAGCTGGAAAAGCCACTAGAATAAAGCACACAGTGTTAGAGCTACAGGAAGTCTAGGGTTAAGATTCTAGAGACCATATAGTTCAATCCTCACATTTCACAGAAGAAACTGAGCCTCAGAGAAAAGAAATTAACTGTACAAGGTCTAAGGGCTAATAATAAGCATTAAGAGATGGGACTGGGGGGCAGCTAGGTGGCACAGTGGATAGAGCACTGGCCCTAGAGTCAGGAGGGCCTGAGTTCAAATCCAGTCTCAGACAAGACATTTGACACTAGCTGTGTGACCAAGAAAGAAAGAAAGAAAGAAAGAAAGAAAGAAAGAAAGAAAGAAAGAAAGAAAGAAAGAAAGAAAGAAAGAAAGAAAGAAAGAAAGAGATGGGGCTGGAACCCAGGTCTCCTGACCCCATAAGCAAAGCCAATGATTTTGAATAAGAATACTTGGTTTTCAGATGATTTTCTAAGTCTCTCTATCTGGTAGGTGATCAATGCAAAGATAGGCTTTTGATTAGGAATCTCAAACGTTTTATCCATCTCTTACTATTATTACCACTACTTATTAGTAATAAGAGTATTAATATGATCAATATTAATAAATTCCATTTCTAGTCTTTAAGATTTAGAAAGAATCTTCTCAAAACAAACACTCAAAAACAACAGGTATGCAGCACAAATATTATTAGTTCCCAAGAGGTAATGAGACTCAGAGAGGTTAAAGAGACTTGCCCCTGGCAAAAAGTGTCGATACCTTTCAAAGTATAGTCCAAATGCCCCTATCTTCATAAATTCTGCCCTACCTACCAGAAGTGAAAGTGACCTTCTGCTCACCTGATTTCACAGTACTTGGTATTCCTCTTATTCATTCACCATATTCTATTTTGTACTCTATCCAGTACTAAATTGTAAGCTGTCACAGGAAGGATAACTTATTTAATCTTCTAGCACAATACATGGCATAAAATAACTGCTTAATATAAGTTTGCTGAATGAGTTGAAATGAATTTAGAATACAGGCTTATTTTTGTGTGTCATGAACCTTTTTTTGTGTCATGGACCCCTTTGGGAAGATGGTGAAGCCTATGGTCCTGTTCTCGGAATAATGTCTTCAAATGCACAAAATACATAGGATTACAAAGGAAATCAATTATATTGAGATCCATTCATCAAAATATTAAATCAACAAGTACAAAGACCTCAAATTAAAAAATCTCTAAAAGGGCTTACATGCTAAATGAAGAAATTTTTTTTTAAATAATCACATACCAATTTAGTAAGTGTAATAGTTGAAGTTCCCTACTCACCTAAAGCCTAGCCATTCTTCAAAGCCCTTCCTCAAGTCGAACCTATTCTAGGTAGCCATCTCTGACTATTCTAGGCTCCCACCACTTGTACAATCAGGAAGAAAATCTTACGATCCAGTCTCCCAGTCACCCAGGCTTGAAGTCTAGTAATCCACTGACTCTTCTCCCTGTCCAGCCCTCCTCACTCAAGTGGTCCTGCCTACCTCCAAGATTTCTCTTAAATTCACATTCTCCTTCCCATTCCCACTGAAAGTACCCCAGTTTTCTACTCTCTTCACCTCCAACTTGTACTGCTCTAACAAACTCTTCACTCATCTCTTTGCCTCCATCCAGCCTTTGTCTTCTTTAATCCACCTTTCAGATAGCTGCCAAATGAAGCTCCCTAATGCACAAGTCTGACCATGCTACTTATCATCTCAGAATTTCTCAGTGGCTCCCTATTGCTCAGAGGATAAAATATCAATTTCTTTATCTGGTATTTAAGGTCTTTCACAAGTCGGTTCCAATGTCTATTTCCAGCCTGATTTCATAAACTCTATATGCTAGCCATATTAACCTATCAGCTTAATTAATAATTAGGCTCATAAGATTCAACGTTCATGTATAATATAAGAACTTATAAAAGTAAGGGGTAGAACTGACAGATGGATTATAGCGCAAGAGAATGAAAGCAACCTCTGTGTTCAGCTGGTGTCGTGTGGGAACTCCAGGGTGTTCTGAACTGAATAAGTCCATTCTTTTCTGTCTAACCCAGTCTTTCAAAACACCTATCACTGACGAGGAAGGAAACAATGCAAGTGAGTGGGGTTCAGGACACAACAGCGCTGTCAGCAAAGGAATGTTACTGCTGGTAAAGAGTCATGTCCCAAGCTTCCTACTGGCTAGAAACAGCAACATGTGGGGTAGCTCCACCCATTCTATTCTAGAGCTGTAATGACTTGGGGGCAAGGTACCTGATCAAGAGGAAAGAGAAAGCCAGAGCTCCAAAAGGTCAAATACTTACATGTCGTTTATCCACATCTGTGCCAAACTGGCCTTGGAAACATGCTAAGAGGCGCTTGTGAGAATGATGGCACACTGACCGCACTGTGTCGAGCCGTCTCTCAATCTAACAAAGGAGGGAAAAAAAATTTTTTTTCAGTCTCAATGAGTCCCTTTTTTTCCGTGATATGTTTATTAAGTCTGTGTTAGCACAGTAAAAACTAATGCTATCAGAGTTTTGTGGGGAAAGCATCTTCTCTCTGATTAAGTGATCCCTTGACACAGTTAAATTGAATAGGCAGAAACTGAATTCCATTCACTCCAAACATTAAGGCCACTAAATACACAGCATTATGTTAGGCTAGGGCACTCCCAAGACAAAAACCAAACCAAAACAAAACCCCAAAACAAACTCCAGTCCCAATCTCAAGGAGTTTATATTCTAAAGGAAATAAAACATGTTAGGTAGCTAAGTAAATGCAAGATTAATTTGGATAAATACTTGTAAATTATTGCCATTCTAGTCTGCTTGTCTTCTTCAACTTAAACAGGTATTTCCATTTAAAATTTTTATTTATATTTCTACTAATACCTACTAATAGGGATAGGGCACTAAACCTGTAATTTCATTGGTGTGGAGCACTAAGAAGTGAAGAAACTCCCTTTATCAAACTTCTATACAATCTCAGAGTGTTGCTAAGAGCACTGAGAGGATAAGTGATTTTCCCACAGTCACGCAGCCAGTAAGTGTCAAGGGCAAAACTTGCACCTAGGCTTTTCTGGCTTGAAGGCTGGTTCTCCATCCCCTCTGTATGCAGCCTCTCTCCTACCCATAATGTTAGAGAAAGACCTCATTTAACACAGAATGTGAAGACACCTCCGAGACTGGTTAATGAATCCAATCCCTGCCCCAAACTCAGTCCTGAGTAGGTGCGCCATCTGTCACCTATGATCAATTCAGTCTAAATATTTATTAAGAACCTGTTCTGTGCAAAGAATCATGCATTCTGGGACAAGAGCATCAACTATCACTTGCCTGGCACTTTATATTTTATACTGAACACAACAGCTCTGGGAAACAGGCAAAACAACTATAATGACAGTGGTATTTTACAGGCGAGGAAAATGGTACTGAGGAAGATGATATATGGCTCAGCCATGGTCACACACCTAATAAGGGGTAGGGTGGATCCTTGGACCCTGTTCTCCAGATCCAGTGGTTCATCCTCCCCTACATTTCAAGTTCTAAGCTCCCCCTTTAAGATTCTATAAGTCTCAGATTCGATAGTCCTGTTGACTGTTTAGTAGATATTGCTGGTCAGTAACGCTAGGGTTATTAATAGTTTCTCCTTGTCACCTCTCAATGTAATTACACATCTTAAGAAGAAAAATGGAAATGGCATAAGGTTTTTTTTTAACTTTCTAGAGACTGGGCTGTATTTTTAATATAATTTTTATAATTTTATAATTATTTTATTTATAATTTTTAAAATTATACAACTTATGCCTTTTTTTGGTTTTGTTTTGTTCTTAGTATACTTCTAAAGCCAGTCAGCACATATAAGAAAGTCAATGGTTAAAAAACAAAACAAAACAAAACCAACTCTCATAGAATAGTAAAAATAGTTGAATTTATAGTGTTCTAAGGCTTGCCAAGTTTTACTTATATCTGTATCTATATATCTTTATATATATATATATATATATATGTAAAATTTCACTTACTAGATCCTAGGAGGGGTCCTTGCAAATATTTGTGGAATGAATGAGGTCTCCAAGTTGGAAGAGCTGTGTATGAAGATCCCATGCTCTAAACACTGGTGTTGGGAGAAGACTGTTTATGTCAATGAGAGCCTCTATTCAGAGAAGGAATGCAGTGAATCTACATTTTGATGACTCATCAAAACCAAGAGGAAGCCCTTGGGAATGACTTTCTATTTCGAAAAAAGGTCCCAAAATAAAAAAAAAAACAAAAAAATTTCCCTCTATAAACATAATGAGATGATTTGGTGCCTCTTTGTCAACGGATCCCTAACACACCAGAATTTTATCTTTGCAGCCCCTGCCCATTTACTAGAGCTCCTACCAAGCAGGCAAATTTACATTCATTTTTTGAATACTAATCAGTAAGATTATCACTGCCGGTTCTCCTCAAACCCACAGCAATAAGCTTTTTACACAAAGAGAACCAATACAAATTATTGGCTCAGTTACAACAGAATCAACTTCCCCAAAGCAAAACAATTTAGCTTTCCAGCCCTCCAAAGGCAACATTTTATGTCATTTGATTTTCCATCTTTGAGAATTGTCATGGGGTATAAACTGACTGGTTTCCAGGCATTTTTTTAAAAAATGGTTAACTTTGTCAGACACACCAAAAAAAGGTGCATTTCACACTTGAAGAGCCTGACTATGTTTTCTACAAGAGCTGCCTTGCCTTTTGGTCTCCAATTGTGGATGTGTCTTCATGGTCTCACAGATCAAAGAATATTAAAGCGCAGAGCACGCATCACAGAAGGTGAAGATGTAGGAGGAGCCTCATAATATAGAAGGTCAGAGCTCAGTCTTAGAATGAGATAACATTTACAGAGCACAGTGCATGGTATATAGTAGATGCTTAATAAATGCTTGTTCTTCTTCTTCTTCTGCAATGTTAAGGGTAGAAGGGACTGAAGACATAATCTAGTCCAAGCTCTCATTTTAGAGATGAGGAAACTGAAGTATACTGACAAGACTATGGACACACACAAAGCAGTGACTAAAAGTATCCATTTGGTACCATGGAATAATATGACATACAATGATAAATTATTACAGTGATTCCCACAAAAATATGTACAAATCATGTCTTTGTTATTAACCATTTGTTTCTATTTGATGCTATTGGTTCCCAATAACAACAGGCATTCACACACACAAAAAAATCAATAAACACTGACAGTGAAGAAGCGAAAATAGAGGCCCAAATATAAAATCCTCTAGGTGGCTGACATTTAAAGCTCTTCATAATCTAGCCCTTTCCTATCTTTCCAAGCTTTTCATAGCTTAACCCCTCACTTCCACAACCTCTATCATCTAGCAATACCGACCTATTTGTAGTTCCTTGAGCATAACACTCTAGGTCCCAAGTCTATGATTTTGCATGGGCTGTCTACCCAGCAGGCCTGAAAAGCTCTGCATTCTCACCTCTCCAAGTTCATTCCACTGGCTTCCTTCAAAGCCTTATTAGCTCAATGTCCACCTTCTGGGGAAAGCTTTTCCTGGATTTTCTCCCCATCCCCTCATCAGTACCTTCTCTCTGAGAATACCTTTATGCTGTATACATCTTGTATGTACCTAAGTATTTACATATTGTTGACCCATTAAAATGTATATTCCTTAAAGGTGAGGATTGTTTTTCTAGTTATTACTGTGTGTTAAATGCTAGTTCACTGATTTCATTTTTTATTCTTTATTACAAAGGATGGTTTTTGGAAAGAGAAGAAGAGAAGGCTATTTTTGAAAATGACATAACAAAAAATAAATTTTTTTTTAAAAAACAAGGACTTCAGTAAAACTCAAATTAAATGCAATACCAACGGCCAAATGTGGACAGGACAGCACTCACTTTGCTCAGACTCCAAGTACAGGATTCTTCCACTATCCTATATGGCAAACCCCAAATAACTCTGTGGCTGTGGGCAAGTCAATTTCTTTCTCTCTGCTTCATTTGTAAAATCAGCAGGTTCAACTTGATTATCTCTAAGAAAAACTATATATAGAGAAGGTGAATTTATTTTCTAGTGATTTGATAAAATAATAAAAAAAATTATACAGGCATATTTATGAAACATCCAGTTTTTAGAAATAGGAAACAATTTTTCATCATTAAGCACCTACTACTGAATTATGTGGATACTTTTATGAAAAGTGCTTTCTGCATAGCAGGCCAATGGTTCTCAGAGGGATGTGATGAATTTTAATAGGTATGCTACAAAATTTATTATGTTATATTACTGTAGATTAAAAAAACAAAAACTAAACCTGTTTGTTTAATATAAATTTTATTAATCTAGCATATGTAATACCTAAAGTAAAATATTTGCAAAATAGATAAAACTTGTCTATTACAAAAAACATATCAGACCTTGAACGTGCAAAGCACTCAACAAAAATGGCTGCTCTTGATGGAGGGAAACTTTTGTAATGTTGCCAACTTTAGGTGTACATGGCACAGTTCCTCATCATAAAGAATACTGTGGTGGGAAGTTAAAAAAAAAAAGGTAACCCTTGAAGTAAGGCATTTAAATGTGCGGATGAACTTCACAGCTGACTGAATACAAAGGCTAACAGCTGACAAGAAACAGCCTCAGGCATAGCAGCACTGAAGGGGACTACATCTTCAAAGCTATGAGGCTTAGAAGGTTATGCCATTCTAATTTATAAGTAAATGCTTAGAGGCAGCTAGGTGGCACAGTAGATAGAGCCCCTGTCCCAAAGTCAGCAAGACTTGTCTTCCTAAGTTCAAATCTGGCCTCAGATATGTACTAGCTAAGTGACCCTACACAAATCACTTAACTCTGTTTCCCACAGTTTCCTCATCTATAAAATGAGCTGGGGAAGGACAAGGCAAACCACTCCGGTATCTCTGCCAAGAGAACCCCAAATAGGGCCAGAAGAGTTGGACACAACTGAAATGACTGAAGCACAAAATGCTTGGAGCACAGTGTGCTCAACAACAACAAATTTAGGGAGGAAGGAGCATGTGGGTAGCTGGTAAGGTAATGCCTGCATTTACGCTTCTGCTGCTATTCAATGTAGATATCCAATTCCACAAACACTTTTACGTACCCACTACACATACAAATCTTTGGGTCATGAATGGAAGCCATCCTTGCTCTCAAGGACCCTATAACCTAAAAGGGAGCCATGACATATACAAATATATACAGGTATGCAGGATGTGAACAAAGTACAGAAAGTGCAGAATATATAGCAGGGAACAGAGAACAATCCAGTCTGACTGCAGGGCAGAGTTCAGTGGCGGGGAGCAATATGAAATAACACTTTAATTGTAGGGCTGATTGTACAAGGAGTTAAACATCTGGCTAAGGCGTCTGTTATTAAAACATAAACTCCACGAGAGCA